GCACATGTTTCCCGTTTTGTTCCCATTTAATCCATCTTCTCTGACCATGGACTCAATCCACATTCCAGCGTGTCTCAATCTGGAGTTCCTCAATGAAGTCTGAAAACGCATGTGCCAAAGCTCGACTGCCAGTGAGAGCAAGAAGGAAGTATACAGTACAGTAAAGTGAATTTAAGGATCTGTTAAATCTATAAAAGTAGATCAAATCAGAGGTTGAGAACCTGTGCAGAGTGAACTATACAGAATAAGACACATCTGTTATTTTATTTTGTACCTACTGCTCAGAATAAAAACACTTGAAATATGGAAGATTTTTTTAAAGTATGATTTCGGTCTAAACAAATATACATCATGATCTACAGCCACCAAGCAGTCCCCATGGGCCATATAAAAGATGCCAGTCTATAAAATGGAAACTGCCTAGTTTTGATCTTTGCACATAGCTGGAGAATGCCCAAAGTAAAATGATATTAAACATATGTAAGTCACATAAACTGCCTTCAGAGGACTTTTAACAAATAATGGTACTAATAACCATGACACTGTCATATAGTGAGTGACATTTCCCCCCGTCAACAAACCGTAGGTGTGGATGGGTTTATGGGGAGATGTCTTGAGGACAAATACACAGACCTGGGCCTTCTGAGAAGTTTCCCAAAGATATTTTTTAATGCCTGGTGATGCAGAGACAATGGTGTAATTGACCTCCAGAGTAAACAGTTTGATTATTGGTTTCTGAAATAAAATTAGAAGACTCAGTCCCTAACGTACTCAAACCCACTTGTGTAGTCGTGAATTTACGGAAGAATTACGCTAAAAATGCTGCAGTCCCACACGAAAAATGTGAGCAAACAGAAAGATATTCTTTACGTTTCCGATGCTAATCCATGCACTTCCTGAGTCAACAAAACTTTCACAAAAGTCTGTGTAAGCTAAATGTTAGGAAAGAATAACAAGCCTTATTTACAGATTAAAAACCAAACAAGTCAGGATAAAAGCCTTTAATCCCTTATTGCCATTATACCTCCAAAAAGAACATTACATAATGCGCTAGTAATTCCAGATAACTAAAAGAGTAAGGAAAACAAACTTCATCTTGAGGATCAGACTATTTGAAAAGCCTTTTTAAAAAATCAGTTCAGGTATTATTAAATTATTATCCAAAACTTTTGGGTGTTTGTGGGTGTGTGTGTTCTTTTTAAAGGGAGAGAAGCTTATGTCACCTTTCCCTTTTCAGGTTATTTTCAACACTTTTCAAATTTACCACAAAAAACTGTAAATATCTCTGCTTCGAAATAAGGGTTTAAAGAACTTTCAATGATAATATTACGATGAATTTTACAATGAATTGTAAAGAATAAAGAATATTCAATGGGTTTATGGGGAGATTTAAAGAATATTCAATGATAATATTACAATGAATTTATTTGTTTGCTACTTTTATAATTTTTTGTCTCTTCTAAAGCAAGCATTCGATTAGAAAATCCTCCATGTTGTTTACAGTCTTCTACTATTTTTTTCATATTTCTGGTAGATAACAGTATGCTGCTCCCATGACAGGAACAGGTGGTGTTTGCAAATCATAGAAGAGCCTCTATGTTGCATCAAGAAGAAAAAATTTCTCCACAGAGTACAAGTAGAGCCCCCACACCCCGCCACCTTCTCTTACTCAGCCTCTCAGCTTAAAAGGCTCTTGGAAACACAACACACTCCGAGCCCTAAACAATCCTGTGCGCGGAGCTCTCCTCGCCCGCTGGGCAGGACGAGGCACAGCCCCCGGGCGAAGACCGCTGCCCAGCACGTCCCAACCCGAGTCGGCGGCATGATCCCCTCGACCTCCACGTTGCACGTCCCGGCTTCTCTTAGGTGTCCACGCAGAGCTGTGCCTTTCCCTTCCTTCCCAGCTAGAGTTACATGATATGACATCCCTGACCACACCCTTCAACAACCCACATGCTGACTAGCTTTGGAAGGCCAGTCTAAACCAGTTGAGTCCGTGGCTGCCTCTTTTTAAAGTTGTTTATTATGTGTAAGCTTTTTACTGCACTTTAGTTTAAAACTTGGCTTCATGTAAGGCCTGTTCTTAATCTTCGAGAACCAAAAATGCCTTGTTAGAGTGCTAAGGAGTGTAAAAAGCAGTGATTCCATAAATGCAACGGCTTCCTGTCCTACGTGCTGTCTTACACCCTCATTCTCTCCATCCCTCTGGGTTACTCCCTCTGCTGTCACTGGTTCATCACTGGGTGCCAAGGACTCACTGAATAAAAGCTTGGCACGTAGAATAAATGGGGTGGGGGAACCTTGTGGATAGTCCTCTACTTAGCCTAAGAAATGCAGGTTTAGTTCTCCTCTTCCAAAGGTAAAGGTATTTCACTGGAGCTGTACTTGATCTATATAAACTTAAAAAACAAGTACTCTTTTATAGACACCAGGAATAAAGGAATACAGTAATCAGTTACTTAATGTTTAGATCTGCCCTTTTTAATGTAACACTTGGCAACTAGAAGAAGCATCTTTAATATGTTAGCATTTTTCTTCTTTGCATTTTTTTTAAAGTCAGTTCAATTCATTTTCCAACTTCATGAAATCAATAATGACTTAATTTAAATAACTTAATTCAATGTAAAGTTTTGAATTCTAAACCAAATATCTGTCTTTATATTTTAATATTTTAAATTTAGTTGTCACTTTTCTCACTATGTGCCTTTAGCAGTTACTAAGGTAACTGACATCAATTCTCTGAAATAAGTGTTTCTGTGGGAAGAATTTTCATGTTCAGCATAACGTCCTGGTGGTGTTTTGATCTGTCTTTTGAAACATGAGAAGCATTTTAAAGATTACTTAAGAATCAAATACTTTTAAACAATTTGTATTTTAAGTATTATATGGGACCTATCTGTCTACCTAGAGTAGTGTGTGTTCGTTGCTGAGGCTGACAAGCATATCACCTACATGCATATCACCTACATGCTCCCTGTGCCATCACAGCTGCAGTTAGACTTATGGTACCCGGCAAGCAGATCAGACCCAAAGGAGAACAGGCTTTTCCCCCCTTTTTATGAAGCATATCAATACAAGTTTCTTCCCTTTCCTGTACTAAATTTTAAAGCTTTTGTAAAAACAAAACAAAACAGACAAAACGAGGAACATGGAAAACTTAAAAAAAATTAACACTGCTACCATCAGTTCATCAAATATTTACTTAGAGCTTCACTTAATGCATTAAGATTATAGTAACAAATACATTAGAATCCATTTCTTTTACATACAGTACATTTGTTTTCATTCATTCTGAGGCGCCAAGGGCATCCTAAGTTGAAGCGCTTGTATAATGCCAAATGACTAAACAGTTACTAAAATATGACAGCATGGGGCAGGACACTGTAGATTGTCCTCATAGTAGATTTCTCTGCAGTTTCTCAGATTATTTGCTGCATGACCCAAATAGCCATAATTCACTTTTTGTACACATCGGTACCATAGAGAGTTGGGGAGTATAGAAAATTAGAGGTTGATGCCAATGCCACAGGACTTTTTCTTATTATAAAGGTCACTAGATACTCAAGATTGTTTTTCCTAAAAAAATTTCTAATTTTAATAAAGGGGGTCAATCAAAAATGAATTTAAACTACTTTCTAAAGTGATACAGTATCAGAATAATCCAGATTTGACTATAACATTTTGCTCCCAACTGATGTTTGGATGAAGGACTTCTTCACTGAAGGGGATCCCATCATATTCATGGGTGAATCTAACAATGGAGAAGAAATACTACTAATAAAAATATTTTTCCACTTTGACCAAATCTGTAAACTACACCTTTGTTTATAAAAATTGCTTGTATTAGTTACTGTAATATTCAGCTGTGAATAAAAATTTGTGGAAATAAATACTTTTGAAAAAAGTGGTGTGACAAATTTAAATGAAATTTAAAACTCTGTAACCACACATTGACTGAAAAGTTAATTTTTAATGCTTAAGAAACTATTCAGGGGCCTATATTCAAAGATGCTTCATGATCATTTAAACCAGGGTTTGGCAAACTACAGCCTGCAAGTTGGGGTAGAGAGAGACTTTCCCTATAAAATAAGACTTACTGAGCTACACAACTCAAACAAGGCAGTTTTGGTGTAGTGGATCAACGGAATAGGACAGAGAGCCCAGAGATAGACTCATATGTATAACTTTGTAAATGGTAGAGGTGGCATTACAAATCAGTGGGGAAAATATTTACAAGATCTGTATGGAGGATCTTATATATAAGTGAAAAACATTAACAATAACATTTAAAAATTGGAGAAATATATTTCACAGATAAGAAGACTCCATACCACAGAAATGTCAATTGTCCCCAAGTTGGTCCGTAGATTAAAATCCATCTCACTACAGTTTTCTTTGGTGAAAACTGACAAGCTAATTCTAAAATTTATATGGAAGAGCAGAGGCCCAAGGATAAGGAAGAGGCTCCTCAAGACAAAGCGGGGAAGCTTTCCCTAGTACGTACCAAGGCTTACTATAAAACTTCAGTAATTCAGATGAGTGCAACTGGCACAGAGATAGAAAATTTGACCATTGGAGCAGAACAGACAGCCTAGAAACTGAACATTTGTATGGAAACGTTGGTAGACTGTTTATTACCTAGAGGAGCACACACAAAAATCACCTGGAAATCTTTTTAAGAACTCACATAACCAACCTCACCCAAATGTACAGGATAAGACATCTCCAGGGAAGGTGCCCTTAAACACCCATCATTAGGGAACCCTACTGAAATATTTCATGATACAGAAATGTGTTCACAACATACTGATCAGCTGAAAAGTTACCTCTGGAACCCAACTTCCAACTTAAGGATGGACAGACTTCTGGGTGGCTGGTGGAAGAATAACCTCTCTTCAGGAAAACCTCCACCTCATTCCCAGAGAGGTGAGCGCCTAGCTTCAGGACCTCAACAGGAAAACTGTGTGCCAAGAGCCAAATTTCAGACAGCATACACTTACGTAGTAACAGTAGAGAAAGAACAAAGCAGCCGACATCTGGGTCCTGGTCTGACACTTAGAGGTAGGTCTGGGTGGTGGCAGAAGCTGGCCTGGTGCTCCCAGCTAGGCCCCGGTGATCTCCTTCTGCACACAATCTTACAAAACCACATCAGACAAGCTCACTCTGACTAATGAAGGGAGACAACACAAGACTACGTCACAGTTTTGTCTAAACACAAACACAAGATCTCTGTGCAAACCACACGATACCAAACACCCCTCTCCTGGCTAATGGGTGACTGCAGCTTCTTCACCAGTTGCAGCTTTAGTCTAGCTCTAATCTTCCCTCCTTCTAGGTAGGATCATGCTGAAATAGCTAATCAAAGACTTGACGCTACTTCTGAACAGCACCCAATCCAGAGTGAACCTCTGCATCGCTGGACTCCCCAAATCACCTAACCAAAGCCCAACGTCCAACACCCTCTCACTGAGCTGCCCCTCACTTCCCTAAGGTGTGCCCGTGCTGTGCAGACTTCCTGTTGCAACAGCGTTAAACCCAGCCTGTTCACAGACAGGTGTGTGCCAGGAGGTGTTTGGCTGAAGGGCATCAACACAGTGTTGTCCCCTTCCACCAATATTAGCATTTTGCAGGGGAAACTTAGAACCAAGGAGGTACTGTTACTGAACCAAACTTGGGTACGCTCGCCTGCACACAGTAAAGCCAATCTACCAACACGGGGCCGTGGAGAAGGAAAGTGCAGTGTACTGCAGGGCTAAGCAAGGAGTATGGGAAGCTAATGCTCAAAAAACCTGAACTCCAGATGGATTTCAGGGAAAGGCTTTGAAAGACAGGGTGAGGCAGAGGGTCTCAGGGTACCTGATCCGCTCCTAGACATTCTTCTGACTGGTTGGTGGTGAGGTAATCAGGGGTCAACATCACCAACCTTCTGGTTCCAGCTGGTCTGGGGTCTATGTGCTTGTGGGCAGCACGAAGTTAACTTCTCCCACCTGGTGGCAGTTTCAGTATCTGCAGAACAGCTCAAAGGACTTGGCTCAGAATATTATCTATAGCCCTTGAGGAGGAACTAAAAGTCCTTGACTTTGTTTAATGGCTAAACTGTTATTACTTTTGTCTTGACTGTTTTCCTTTGTTTCTGCATTTTCTCATTCTCTGATTAAGTTTGCTCTTTGGAACTCAGGGAAGGCCTAGGCGGTTAAAGTTTTTCTACCAACAAGAGGCAGGTGGAGGACGTGGGGGTGGGGGTAGGGGGCGGGCCTGTCCAGGGAAGGACCAATAGGGGCCTGCATGGTTATACCTCAGGTTATACAGGTTATGGCAGGTACCTTGGAGATACTGCCAGTTTGGTTGCAGACCACTGCAATAAAGTGAATATCAAAATAAAGTGAGTAACATGAATTTGTTGGTTTCCCAGTGCATATAAAAGTTATGTTTCCACTATACTGAAGTATGCAATAGCATTATGTCTAAAAAAAAATGTACATATCTTAATCTAAAAATACTTTATTGCTTAAAAATGCTAACCATCATCTGAACCTTCAAGTCTTAATCTTTTTGCTGGTGGAGGGTCTTGCCTCAATGTTGATGGCTACTGACTGATCAGCGTGGTAGTTGCTGAAAGTTGGGTGGCTGCAGCAATTCTGATTGACATCTATACACTAATATGTATAAAATAGAGAACTAATAAGAACGTGCTGTATAAAAATAAATAAATAAATAAAATTAAAGAAAAAAAAAGTCAGCAATGAAGTTGCCACATCTATTGACTCTTCCTTTCATAAACGATTTCTTGTAGGATGCAATGCTGTTTGATAGCATTTTACCCACAGTAGAACATCTTTCAAAATTAGAGTTAATCTTCTCAAATCACTATGTATGGCAGCTATAGCCTTACAAAATGTATGTCTTAAACAATAAGACTTGAAAGTCAAAATGACTCCCTGATCCATGGGCTGCACAATGGATGCTGTGTTAGCAGGCATGAAAACAACATAAAATCTCATTGTACCTCTCCATCAGAGCTCTTGGGTGACCAGGTGCTTTGACAATGAGCAGTCATATTTTGAAAGCAATCTTTTCTTCTGAGCAGGAGATCTCAACAATGGGCTTAAAATATTCAGAAAACCACGTGGCAAACAGATATGCTGTAATCCAGGCTTGTTGCTCCATTTATAGAGCACAGGCAAAGTAGATTTAGCATAATTCTTAAGGATCCTAAGATTTTCAGAAAGGTAAGTGAGGATTGGCTTCAACTTCAAGTCACCAGCTCCATTAGCCCCTAACAAGATAGTCAGCCTGTCCTTCGAAGCTTTGAAGTCAGGCATTGACTTCTCCTCTCTGGCTATGAAAGTCCTAGATGGCATCCTCTTCCAATAGACAGCCGTTTTGTCTGCATTGAAAATTTGTTGTTTAGTCTAACCACCCTCATTAATTATCTTAGCTAGATTCTGGATAACTTGCTTTAGCTACTACATCAGCACTTGCTGTTTCACCTTGCATTTTGATGCTATAGAGATGGCTTCTTTCCTTAAACCTCATGGACCAACCTCTGCTAGCTTCAAACTTTTCTTCTGCTGCTTCCTCACCTCTCTCAGCCTTCCCAGAACTGAAGAGAGTTAGGGCCTTGCTCTGGACCAGGGTTTGGCCTAAGGGAATGTTGTGACGGGCTTGATCTTCTATCCAGACCATGAAAACTTCTGTATCAGCGATAGGCTGTTTTGCTTTCTTATTATTGTGTGTTCACTGGAGTACCACTTTCAATTTCCTTCAAGAACTTTTCCTTTTCATTCACAACTTCGCTAAATGTTTGCAAAAGGCCTAGCTTTCAGCCTATCTTGGCTTTCCACATGCCTTCCTCACTAAGTTTCATCATTTCTAGCTTTTGATATAATGTGAGAGATGTGTGTGACTCTTCCTTTCACTTGAGCACTTAAGAGGCCACTGCAGGATTATGAGTTGGCCTAATTTCAATACTGTTGTGTCTCAGGGAATAGGGAGACCTGAGGACAGGGAAAGGACAGGGAAACAGCCAGCCAGTGGAGCAGTCAGAACACACACAAGATAATCGATTAAATTTGCCATCTTATAGGGGCGTGGTTTGTGGCACCCCAAAACAATTACAGTAGTACCAGCAAAGATCACTGATCACAGATCACCATAACAAATATAATAATCGTGAAAAAATTTGAAATATTGTAAGAATTGCCAAAATGTGATGCAGAGACACAAAGTGAGCAAATGCTGTTGGAAAAATAGCACCAGTAGACCTGCTCCAAGCAGGGCTGCCACATACTCAATGAAAAACAAACCAAAACAAAACAAAACAAAATGCAATAAAGTGAAGCAGAATAAAATGAGGTATGCCTGTATTACTAAATGAAATTCTAAGGCTTGGTAAGGATATAGACACTGCAAATAACCTTCAAACAGGTAGAGGAACAAAGACAAATACACTGGACCCTTGAATGGGGGGTAAGGAGAGCCCACCCTCCATACAGTCAAAAGTCTCTATATAATTTATAGACAGCCCTCCATATGGGAGGTTCCAACCAACCTCTGCTCATGCAGTACTGTAGTATTTACTACTGAAAAAATTCTGCGTATAAATGAACCCGTGCAGCTCAAACTCATGCTGTTCAAGGGTCAACTGTATATATCCTTCACTTAGGTCTGTGACATCTTAAGCTATTTGGAACACACCTAGACCTGGGGTAAACTTAAAATAAGTTCGCTAAATCAGTGTCTGTATTATTTTCTGTCTACATTTCATTTCTGATGTTCTTGTTTGGCAACTCGAACTTTCTGTACAGTAGGTATTTGTTATAAGGACAAAACTACATCCAAGGTAATAACTTCTTCTTAATTAACAAAATTTGAAGTTATCACCAAAGCAGTTAGATTAACAATAAGCACATACATAACTTGCCCAACTACTCAAGATTAGCAAACTCACCTGTCTCATTTATTCAAAGTCAAGGCCCTCTGTATCCTTGGGCTCTATGTCCATGGATGCAATCAACTGCAAATCAAAAATATTTGAAAAAAAATTTTTTCCAGAAAGTTCCAAAAGCAAAACTTGAATTTTCCATGCACCAGCAACTATTTACATAGAATTTACATTGTATAAGGTACTATAACTAATCCAGAGATTGCTTAAAGGAGAATGTGTGTAGGTTATATCCAAATACCATGTCATTTTAGATAAGGGACTTGATTTTGGTTTCCTCCTGTAACCATTCCCTAAGATACAGAGGGAAAACTCATTTGTTACATTTGTAACAAATTTGTTACATTACACATTTGTTAACATTGTCCTAGCCCCTACCAACTCCACCAATTTTCCCAGTTTCTGTTACTGAAACTTCTAAAGCCATTGCTGCATAAGCTACCATTAATTTTGAGTATTATAGGAAGTTTAAGCACAGGAAAATTATCCACAAAATGTAGAAGATAGGGCTGAGGCTGGTTATTTCTGAAATCCTAATGAAATCTTAACATTAGAATTTACAGATTTACAATAGATTCACTGATTTCCAGTCTTAACGCTGATCTACTCCTTTTTTTTTTTCAAAAAAATAATTACAGAAACAAATGATAACAGGGCATTTCTAAAAATACTGAGAGCTAAATGTCTTAGAACATTTACATCTCATGAGGGCCCATGTCTAGATTTTAAGAATTATAAAATAACTAATTTTGATATAGATATTTAGTGTTATACAATATATACTTGGTTATATATGGTTAAACATGAAAAGAACTAATTATAATTTATTTCTGGTAATTTTGCATCTTTATTGAAAGATACTTTTCCTCCCAATTTCTATTTTGAAAAGTTAAATAACTATTGAAGAGTTGTCAAAATAGAGCAATGAACAACCGTATACTCTACCTTTAGGTTCCCTAATTGGTAATACTTTGCCGCATCTGCTATCTCCCTTTCTCTGCCACTGTATTTGTATGCATTTTTTGAGTTATTTGGTAATTAGTTGCAGCATCATGACTCTTCACCTCTAAATATTTCAGTGTGTACCTCCTAAGAACAAAGGACAATCTCTGCCATATCTACAATATAATTAACATAATCAGGAAAAGTAATGTCAATGTACCGTCTCATGCAATTTATAGAAAGTTCCCCCAACTGCCCCAATTCTGATCTTTAGAGTTGTTGTTTTTAAATCCAGTTTCCAATTAAAGATCCTATGTTACATTCAAATGTCACATATCTCCTCTAATCTAATACTATTCCTGGCCTGTTTTGTTTTTCACAACATTGACATTTTTTTAAGAGTTCAGGTCAGTTATTTTGCAGAATGTCCCTCAATCTGGATTTGTCTGATTGTTTCCTTATGATTAGATTCAAGTCAGACTTTTTTTGGAGAAATCCTACATAAGTGAGGTTGTGTCCTCAGTGTATCCAGAGGGTGCATGATGTCAGTTTGTCCCATTACTGGTAATGTTAAGCTTGGTCACTTGGTCATGGTAATACAAGATTTCTCTAGTGTATGGATAACTTTTCCTCTTCATGATACTTTGAGATTACGTAAATATCTTTACATAGATTTACATGTTTTTTATATACGTAAAACTTTTACCCAATGGTTTTCAAAATCCATCCATTTTCATGACATTTTTAGTTACAAAAAACTTAGGAAATTTGGAAAGACTTGCTGCTGGTGATCTGTAAGGTATTGAGTGGGAAACCGTGATACTTAGAGTGATGGTATCTTAACTTTTCTTAATAAATATATGGGGGGCAAATTGAATAGAACCTGACTTTTTCTCTTATTGAAGAACGCTAATACCCTTATCAATAGTTCTACAGACCAGATGCAATTACTCTGCATTTGGACTATTAGAAAGTTTTAATGGAAAAACCCATAACTTTTAAAGATCTGTTTATTTCCTCCGCCACTGTATCTCACACTTACAGATAATTCACTGCACATGTTTTCTGATTTTTATTTTCTTCATTGCAAAACACACATTTGACTAGCTTAAGTTTACTGAGTGTCGGCTTGAGATAAAATGTGTTGGTTTTGGCTCACCTAATGAATTCCATTTTGGTTTCAATTTTATTATGTTACTAGCTTTCAAACATAAATCAAGTTCTAATGCTCTAATGGTACCAGCTCTGTACCATCCTTGGAAGGATTAAGAAAATAATCATTCAAATCATTTTCTGTAGGAGCCGTGGTTGAGAAAGGCTGAGCATCTAGTAGTGACACGTTGCCTCACTTCTCCACCTACCTGAAACCACACTTAACCTCATACCCCTAGATCTTTCCCCTGCCGAAAAAGCAAATAAATCTTCTAATCCAAGCCACCATATGCAAGTATGTTACTTTTACCAAGGTTTCAACTACTTTATTTCTTCCACCGAGGAAGATTAACTTAACATTCACCTCCTTTCCTGTTTTCTATAACATATACCTTAGTTAATGATACCTGTCTCTTTTTCTACCTCCGCTTCTACGTTCCACATGCCATAAGCCCTGGACAAACAACATGGGCCTTGGGCTTCTGGGAATCAAGAGTTCAAACCTATAATTCAGCAAATCTAGATTTGAGGCCTTGGCAAATTCTTTGGTTTCTCTGGGTCTAAGCTTCCTCATGTATAAAATGAGAAAGAAAAAACTCTTACCTATTTCATGGGGTTGCAGAATGTTCCTTAATTTGGATTTGTCTGTTATATGAATTGTATGTTATTCAGTTTTATATAAAAATTATCATATTGCCTGAGTATATGAATTATAAACAGCATACATAAGTGCCTGGTGCATGGTAGGCACACAGTGCTCATAGATGGTAGCTTTTATTTTTCTATGCTCTTTGCTCATCATCCAGAATATGAAGGTGAAAGAAAATCATCAGGTATGTGGGAAGTTTTGATTTATTCAAAGTCCAAATTCCACTGACTATATACACTTCTTGTGAAAAAGGAGCATACATATTTTTTAAAGTCAATGGCCTCAGAATTCATGTATTGAATTGACGACTGTCAATTTCCTGGATTTGCTCAAATCAAAGCAACAGAAGAAAGAAAAGGAATAAACCAGAGGGTCAAATTACAATAGATGGTGAGTAAAAGGGAACAGTGGATAACTGGGAGAACAAATGGGAAATGAAGGAATTTTCTGTAACGATGGACATGTTCTAAATTATATTTTGAAAGCTGAGAGTAGTTTGGGTTAAAAGAGTATATGCACTTGTGAAACTCATCCAATTTAAGATTTGTACATTTGACCCCATGGAGATTTTGCCTTAAAAGAACTGTAAACAAATACTGACCTCCTAACATGAGTCATAGTATTTCTGGGTGAAGTGTACTAAGATCTGCATTTAAAAAAAAAAAAAAAAAAAAAAAAAAAAAAGATGGTTTGATGGAAGAACAGATGGAGGGACGTGATACAGCAAATATGGCAAAATGTTAACAACTGTAGAATACAGGTGGTGAATATATGGGTGTTCACTGTAGAAGTCTTTCCACTTTCCTGTATGTTCAAAAGTTTTCATAATAAAAACTTTGGACTATAAAACAAACAAATAGGGACTTCCCTGGTGGTGCAGTGGTTAAGAATCCACCTGCCAATGCAGAGGACATGGGTTCGAGCCCTGGTCCGGGAAGATCCCACATGCTGCGAAGCAACTAAGCCCATGCACCACAACTACTGAGCCTGTGCTCTAGAGCCCGCAAGCCACAACTACTGAGCCCACGAACCACAACTACTGAGCCCGCACGCCACAACTACTGAAGCCCACGCTCCTAGAGCCAATGCTCCGCAACGAGAAGCCACCGCAGTGAGAAGCCCGCACACCGCGACGAAGCGTAGCCGCTGCTCGCCGCAACTAGAGAAAGCCTGCGCGCAGCAACGAAGACCCAACGCAGACAAAAATAAATTAATAAAATTAAACAAACAAACACAATGTGAGAGGGCCACAAAGGCATTTGAAAAGCAGGATTCTAGGGCAGGCATTGCCTGACAGCTCACAGAACACCTCAGTGCCTCCCACCACCCCTTCCCAACTGTGTGGTCCCAGCGCAGGCTGGAAAAGAATTTCCAGACACAAGGCAGAATGTGAGGAAGATAGAGTTTATTAAAGAGAAGGGTCGCTGCAAGAACAGCTGGCCGACTTCCTGGTAGCCAGGGAAAGCCGACCCTGAGCGTGGGTTCCTTCTCTGGTTTGTCTGTTTGTTTGTTTTAACATCTTTATTGGAGTATAACTGCTTTACAATGGTGTGTTAGTTTCTGCTTAATAACAAAGTGAATCAGTTATACATATACATATACATATATCCCCATATCCCCTCCCTCTTGCGTCTCCGTCCCTCCCACCCTCCCTATCCCACCCCTCTAGGTGGTCACAAGGCAGCGAGCTGATCGGAGCCAGCAATCCCACTACCGGGCATATACCCTGCTTGTCTGTTTTTATAGCCAGAGAACAATGGGACTTCTGAGTCACCCGCTGATTGGATAGGATCTGCATGTTTCCAGTAGGATGAATACCTTTCTGTATATGGTATGGAAACGGAGCAAGGCATGCTGCTTGGGAAAGCTCGGAGATGTTGCAATGGTTGCTGCATGACAGAGTGATTAAGGGTCTGGTAACTCTCTGTTCCGGCGATGTTGGCCCTTTTAGTTTATCTTCTTCATTGTCCTTGCAGCACACCACACCGACCACGCGAATCAAGCCCGAGGCAGCCTGGCCAGCCTCCGAGCCCTGGCGCTGGGGCTCTGCCCCTTCTCTGCCCGGGTCGCCTCCTGCTCGCCCGGTCTCAGTCCGTTCTCAGCACACACTCATCACCTGGTTCCCAGAACTCAGATTGCGCAGTGGTCACGTCATCATCGACCAGGGCTCACAGTTACAGCGGCAGAGGCATCCCTAACCTCCCTCATCCGTGCCCGAACCGGCTCACCCTAATCTCCCAGCCCCCGGTTCCCTGGCCCCATTTCGCCTGACAAGTTTTCATAATCCTCTCAGGCTCCGCCAGCGGCGCCGCCAGCCATGGGGCCCGATCATATAAGGAAAATACAGCGGCTTCATCCGGAGCTGCATCGTGGACCCGGGGGCGCCCCTGCCCTACGCCACTCGCTACACTCCACGCCTGCCAACCTCCCCGGGCCTGTCCCCCTCGCCTGCCCCGCAGTCTAGGCCTCTGCCCCTGGTCTGCGCAGCCGCTCTCCCCAGCCTGCGGGAGTCGCTCAGCCAATCCCCTCCCGCCGTCTTCCGAGCCTCCCCCACTCGACTTCCGGTCCGCAAGCAGCGCCCGGCCGCACCCCACCTCCTTCAAAGCAGTTCCACACTTTCGGCCGCCTGGTCACACGTTTAAGAAAATTCAGGAGTGGGGGTGAAGAGGCACGTTAATTACCTGTTGGGGTAGCGGGGCGTAGATAGGCTGGACAGGGTAGAGTCAAATCATTCTCTTGATTGGGAGACAAGAGAGACAAAGTCTTTAAAAACAGCGATATGAGGAAAAAAATCCGCTTGCGAGGAACGTTCTCTTGTCCAAGGCCGGTCTCCCCGGGAGGTTTTGGTACCCTTGGTTCCCACGGGGTGGCGCAGAGGGCCGCGTCCTGCCAAGAGAGAGAGAGCGAGCCCTGGCTGAGCGGCGCGAAGTAGGTAAAAAGGCGCGGCCGAGGCCACGCTGGCGCCGCCCCGCGCGCTTAAAGTCCGGGTGCCCGGGGCGGTACGTCAGCGTCGCCGAGGAGGACCCCTGCGCTGCCGCCCGCCGCCATGGCCCTGCTCCGAGGTGACCCCTACAGCCTCGCCTCTCTCGCCCCTGGTTGGTGGGGGGTGGGAAAGGGCCCGGTCCCGGCGGGGAGTCGAGGCCTCCTAGGCAGTAAAGGGGACTTGATAAAACCCCAACCCGAAAGCACTGTTTGGGTTTAGGAGAAAACATACTTGTCAGGCACTAGCGACAGTGATCTCCCGGCAACTTCCAGCTGAGAGTTGAGACCACGGTTTGCTTGCTTCTGACCTTGAAGGTCATTTGCCTTCGCGCGGTAGTGACCCACCTAGTTCGAGGTTAGCTATTTGGAAGACTGGGGCGGCGCCATAAGCACGAGGCGGCCTGGGGCGGAGGGGTGCCTTTCCCAGGAGCCCGGCGGCCTCGGACTTGGTCAGAGGGTGGGCGGGGCTTGGGGGAAAGGAAGGAATGTTGTCTTGCAGTCGGCAGGGGATTTCCGTTCCCCCCACAGTGCTTGGTGGCGATCTGTTGGAGAACTTTCCTTAATCCCTTTCCCTTCTTTCGAGTGAGTCCAGGAGAGTGCAGTCATTGAGTACATAAATTCTACAGTTATTAACTTAAAAAAAATAATGTAAACTCCCTTTTCATAGCAAATGGTCGCAGTCAGTGGAATAAGGATGAAAGCTCATCCTTACTTTATGTGTCCTTTGAAGAACCTTCAGATGGAACACTTTATATATCAAGGCCCCGGGCAGAAAAACACTTGGCAGGAACTGAGAACCATTATTCTGGTGGTCCAGGGCCCTGTGGGCTCTGTGAAGGAGGTGGGGTTTTATTCTAAATTCAAAAGAAGGCAATCTCCTACCTTAAAGTAGAATAACAGGATCTGATATCCAGTCTGCCCCCATTTCCTCAGGGCTGTGAGGCTGTCCATGTAGCAAGGAGGAGAATTTAAGAATCTATTGCAAAGGCCCAGGCAACATCAGATGATGGTTTTGACTCAAGTGGGGGGCAGTGGAGTTGGGGAAAAGGGGGAGGAATGATTTGAGATAGATTTGGAGTTGGAATTCACAGAACTTGGTGATAGGTTGGATGTGGCAGGTCAATGAGAAGGAAATGTCAAGAATGACCAGGTTTCTGGTTTGAGGAATTGTGTTCATGATGATACTCCTTATGGAGTGAGGAAAACTGGGGAAGGGACAGATTTGTAAGAGAATACTGAGGTGCTCAAGTGCAGATATCAGGTAGGCAGTTGGTTAGGGGGATCTGGAGCTCAGAAGAGCCAAAATGACATGTGAACAGTTCAAGTGAGAAATAGGTATTCTGAGACAAGAGGGTTTAATTTAATTTGTCAGTGCTCTTTACAGTTGTGAATTTAATAAAGCAGCATATTGATTTTTTTAGATGAGGTATTCAGAAAACCCAAATTATTTAAAAGCTGCATGGTCATGAGCTATCATCTTTAAAAGAAATTATATTTTTATTGATTTCTCTGTATAAGAATTTATCAGTGGTTCTGACCACTTTATTTTAATACAGACCCCTTTGAAAATTTGATGAAAACTATGAACCCAGTAAGGGGAAAGGATGTACATCAACACCTGCATTAAGGAAGTATGAAGTTTATAAATTTGGGATACCATTCACTATGGTGTTAAAAGTCAGTGATCGTATTTTTATCCATTTCCCTGTTTTACAGGGAAACTGTAAACTGTTTTACGGGGAATGTTTCCCTGTTTTACTGATGTCCAGAAAGGTAGAATGGCTTGTCTCTAATGGTAGTTAGTGTCTTGATTGTTATTGGTTAGTTAGAATACATTACAGATACATACTTCTCTCAAGTAGCATACTAGGTGCTTGCAGGACTAGTGGGTAAGAGAGAACGTGCGACTGATTCTTGTGGGGTAAAGGACACATTTGAATGGGAGCATAATTGACTTTGGTAAAGATTGTCATTAATTTATCAGATTTCTGTAGAACCAATATCCCGGGTTTTTATTAGCACCAATCCCAGGACTTGGTAGAAGGGTTGCACTCAACAAATATTAACTCTCTTACTGCTCCTTAGCTTTGCTGGGAATGTTTGTGCAACCCTTCAAGGCAGATGAGGTGGGTAGGCGGGGGCGGGGGTCAGGGAGCTGCCAGATTAATCCTGAAACTGAAGTGGATACAGAAGCAGCAGTTTTCCTTGTTAGCTTTGGTTGCTGTCTGCAGTTGCTGTAATTAAATGAGTAAATATTTGCGTAACAATGTAATAGAAAGGAAGGCAGAATTCCTCTTTGTCTTCTAGTGTTATTTTTCCTCTGTGGTCACATCTGCCACATTGCCAGACCCTTTCCTGGTGTTTGTGACTCACTATGCTCTGGATTAATATGTCTTTTCATTGTCTTTCAGTAAAAATCTTTAACCTCTGAATTTTCAGAGCCTTTTAAAATACACAAGATCTTAGCTGGGTGTTACCGATTGTTAAGTTTTAGACCTTTCAACTTCCACATAAAATCGACATCAGGTCAAATAATTATTGCCATGGTATCCAGTTTATGAAATTACAGGAAAAAATCCTTTAGATTGTCTAGTCTTTGTACCTGCACAGGCCAGATTATTTTTAAAAATACACTTAATAGCTTTTTCCCCACTCAAAATAATTGTATTAGTTCAGTTTTAGCCTTGCTCATGCTAACCCTTACAGCCTGGGAGCTTCAAGTAAGCAGACGTGATGTAGGGAAAGGGGAAGTTCTTGCTTTCATTTTCATTTTCACACACGCACACTCTTTTGTAGATTTCTCATATTTCACCATACGCACTTCCCACACAACAATGCTTTCTTAGATTATGAAATACAAGGAAAAAACTCATGACAGGAAATTTATGGAGAAGCAAATGAAACGTGCCTTCATTGTTTCTGAAAAGTCAACGTTCAATTCGAATCATTTTCATGTATGCAATATATCATTTTATCTGGCTTTTGAGATTCTGTCTTTCGTTTTGAGAAGTTTGACAGTGATGTGCCAAGATGAGTGAGTGTGTGCGTGTATTTTGCATTTATTCACTTTGGAGTTTACTGAGCTTGAATCTGTAAATTTATCTTTTAGTTTTATAGAAAAATTGAACAGAAAGTACAGAGCATTCCCATATACTTCCTCGCCTCACTCCGTTATCCCCTATTATTAACAGCATTAATGTGGTACATTTGTTACAATTGATGAACCAATACTGATATATTATTTTTACCTAAAGTCCACAGTTTACATTAAGGTTCATTTGTTGTGTTGTATAGTTCTATAGGTTTTGACAAATGTATAATGGCATGTATCTACCATTTTAGTATCATAAAGAGTAGTTTCACTGCCCTAAAATGTCCCTGTGCTCTACCCATTCATTTCTCCTTCCCTACCACCCCCAACCCCTGATAACCGCTGGTCTTTTTACTGTCTCCATAATTTTGCCATTTCTAGGTGTCATATATTTGGACTCATACAGTGTGTAGCCTTTTCAGATTGGCTTCTTTCACCAGCAATATGCATTTAAGTTTCTTTCATGTCTTTTCATGGCTTGATACCACATTTCTTTTTAGTGCTGAAGAATATTCCATTGTATGAGTGTACCACAGTTTATCCATTCACCTACTGAAGAACATCTTGGCTGCTTCCAAGTTTTAACAATTATGAATAAAGCCGCTATAAACATTTGTATACAGGTTTTTGTGTGGACCTAAGTTTTCAACTCACTGGGGTAAATACAAAGGAGTGTGACTACTAGATCATATGAGTGGAGTATGGTTAGTTTTAGTTTTGGAAGCAACTGCCACATTGTCTTCCAGAGTGGCTGTACCATGTTGCATTCCCAGAAGCAGTGGGTGAGTTTCTTTTGGTCCACATCCTCACCAACGTTTTGTATTGCCAGTGTTTTTTGGATTTTGGCCATTCTAATAGTTGTGGGATAGTATCTCATTGTTAGTTTAATTTGCAGTTACCTAACAACATGATGTCAAACATCTTTTCATATGGCTATTTGCCATTTGTATAGTATCTTTGGTAAGGTGTCTGTTCACATTTTTTATGCATTTTTAACTGGGTTGTTTGTTTTCTTATTATTGAGTTTGAAGAGCTCTTTGTATATGTTAGATACCAGCCCTTTATCAGATAAGTGTTTTGCAAGTATTTTCTCCCAGTCCATGGCTTGTCTTTTTGTGCTTTTAGTAATGTCTTTTGAAGAGCAGAAGTTTTCAATTTGAATAAAGTCCAAATTTTTCTTTCATGGATTGTGCTTTTAGTGTTGTATCTAAAAAGTTATCACCAAGCCAAACCAAAGGTCGTCTAGATTTTCTCCTTTGGTATCTTCTAGGAGTTTTATAGTCTTTGAATTTTTTATTTAAGTCTGTGTTCCAGTTTGAGCTAATTTTTATGAAAGGTGTAAAGTCTGTCTACTTTGTTGTTGTTGTTGTTTGCGTGTGGATGTCCAGTTGTTCCAGCACCAGTTATTGAAAAGACTATCCTTTCTCCACTGAATTGCCTTTGTTCCTTTGTCAGACTTTGCCCATGTTTTTTGTTTTGTTTTGTTTTGTTTTGCCCAATCATCTTTTTCCTCTGTTCTTCAGATCAGGTAATGTCTATTTATCTCTTTCAAGGTTACTGAATCTTACTCCTTTCACTTCCATTCTGCTTTTACACTTCTTTTTTTCACACTTGCTTTTTCCCATTTGGTGTATATTTTATTTCAGATATTTTTCAGTTTTAGAATTTTCACTTTGGTTCTTTTTTTTAAGCTTTTTTTTTCCTTTGTGGAGATGTCCTATCCTTTATTATGAACAAAGTTTTCTATACATCCTTGAGCATAGTTATCATAGACAGCTGCTTTAAAATCCTTGTCTGCTAATGCTAACATCTGGGTCATCTTGGGGTTGGTTGCTGTTGATTTTCTTTTATCTCAAGAATGAGTCACACAGGCATATGTCATTTTATTGCACTTTGTAAATACTGCGGTTTTTTACAAATTGAAGGTTTGTGACAACCCTGCAGTTGAGCAAGTTTATTGGTGACATTTTTCCTACAACGTTTGCTCACTTTGTGTCCGTGTTACATTTTGGTGATTCTCGCAATGTTTCAAACCCTCCATCAGCAAAAAGATTACAACTCACTGAAGGCTCAGATGATGGTTAGTATTTATTAGCAATAAAGTCTTTTTTAAATTAAAGTATGCACATTTTTTTAGACATAATGTTATTGCACACTTAACAGGCTACAGTAGAAGCGTAACTTTTATAGGCACTGGAAGACAAAAAAATTCGTGCGACTTGCTTAATTGCAGTAGTGTGGAACCAAACCTGTAATATCTCTTGAGATATGCCTGTATTTTCTTGTTTCTTCATAGGTGAATAAATTTTGGATTGTGTGGTGGACAGTGCAGGTGAACCATTGTAGGGACTGGATTCTGGTACTTTCCAAAATGTATTGACTTACCGATTATTTAGTTAACTATTTTTGCAGGCAGTTAATTTGGCTGAACTCAAACTGCACACTCTGTCTCCCCTGTAGAGGGCAGTAGCTCAGATCTAACTAATTCATTTAGGCTTAGCTGAGGTGGTTGTAGTTGTCCCCACAGGTTCATGATAAAGGATTCAGCGAGATATTTGGGCTCCCCACTGTAGCGCTTTTCTTTCACAGATCCCCCCGCTCAGTTTCCAGTATCTGTGATTGCCATAAATTCAGTTCTCTGATTCTTCAAGCCAGCAAGACTTTGAGTTTCTGAATTCTCGCCATTCTATTTAGCGTGGGCTGCTGGCCTTCAAGTTAGAGGTTATAAATAACTTGGACACTCACCCTGTGTTATTCCCTTTTCCCATATCTACTCTACATCTGCCTACTTTTGTTCATTCTCCAAGGACTTGAGGAAGCCATTCTTATATATCGTCAGTGTCTACTGGAGACTTGGTCAAATAGGAGCATACTAGGCGATGACCAGAGCAGAACTGTACCAAAATCAGGAAGAAGGCAAGCAAAGGGGAAAGAAAAATGAAATAAAGCAAACACCAGTGTAAAAATAGGCAGAGACTATTAATCAAGGAGGATTAGAGGATGTTTACAGGAAGGCATAGTGGCCCAGAATAACCCATCTCAGAGGAAAACATTTGTAGTGCACCAAACCAATGTTTATGGCATTTTGTAAGTATCTGAATATTTTATCTGTAAAGAACTGATTGGATCTGTTCTAAAGTATAGTTATATATGTTGCTCCTAACATTCTTTTAGACTGTAAATTTCTCAAAGTAGGAATGAAAGAAGAAGCTGGAATTTTTTTTAGGATAGATTTAGTTTGTTCCATGGAAAGAGATCTCTGACATAAACAGGAGAATTGTACCCAGATAACAATAGTGGTATAATGTTTGCATGGTCTCAATTATAGGTCAATATCTGGGTACAAACCCATTGTTAAAAGTCCCTCAGTTTCTTGGCAAGATGTGGAAATGTGTGCTCAGATTGTCTTTGGGAAAATTTAGTTAGTGTATACGAAGCATCAAGCATGAAGTCCATCATGCAGTAAGTGCCCCTGTATGTTAACTGGAATATTTACCTTGCAGAGTTGTTGGGAAGATTAGATACTATATGACAAGTGATGAGATGTCTAGTACTCAGTAGGTGCCTAATAAATGTTAGTGTGATGAAGCTGCTGTAACCGATGTTGTTCCCCGGTATGCAGGCTTTGCATTTCACAACTCTAGTGGGTGCCGCTCATATCATAGTCATTGTAGATTTGTTAACCATATATATATATATATATATATATATATATATATATATATATATATAGGCCGGTGGCAGTAGAGTGCCTTGGGAAGGGACAATTTGTACTTATCTGTACAGGGACACCAATCGAACCAATAGTGATACTGCAAATTTGTAGTCTTTGCAATAATAGATGTATAGATAATTCCTCTGTATCCTTTGTGGTTAGGTCAGATGTAGGAAACTTTGTTACATTCTAACTGACACGTTATAATAGGATATTAGCAAATGAGAGTGTCTTTAGGGAAAAACAACCAGAATTAATGTTAAATAAAGAACTGTTGAAAGAACGCTTTTTGTGTATTTGGGAAAAGAGTCATTAGGTCTGGGGAATTTTACAGGTTAGCTGACTCCAGATACTGGAGGGGCTACCCATGATAAAGGTCATCTGTTTTATCTGTTATGCTCATTTTATTCTAAGAGTAAAAGATAATAGTTCACATTATTTGAAATTTGTAATTTGAGTCATCCTCTGACTCTAGAAGCAGTGACATATGTAATACAAATTCAAAGCAGTGTATGTTCTAGAAGCTATATAATCTGTCTGAGTTTGGAATGCATTTGGATAGAACTACGATTGGTAGATGGAACACTTGGTAAGCCAAGCCCAGCTCAGTATGAGAAAAAAAATCGTTAGGTTATGTTGCCTGTTCACGGGCACACTGCTTCACACAATGGAGCATGCCTTCTTACTGAAAGTTCTTTAGCAGAAGTTAGAGAGGACCTCTTGTCAGGAATATTCTAGAGGATGTTCTTATAGGATGAGTGGTTGGCCTCAAACAACCTTAAGGTACCTTCTAGTGGGAGATTCTTTGATTCTATGACCAGGCAATATACTCCAGCAAATAGAAGAAGCCTTTCGTTTTAAACAAATGTTTCTAGCATTGCAAATCATCAGATTATAAGAATGTCATCTAGCCAAAATGGATTTACATGGTAGCCTGCAGTGCAGTTCTTGGTACCAGCATGTAGGTATTGATCAAAATGATAACTTTTAGTACTGCTTCTGTGAGTGTGACCCATTCTATGTATTATTATGTGACAAAGATTTTTAGTTATTTAATTGAAAATTGTACTTTACAATAAGGTTCACAATGAAATTATTTAAAGCATGTTAGGGACACTGACTCACCTGTAGTTGCTCATAAACCTCTCCTCTTTGCAATAGGTGTGTTCATCGTTGCTGCTAAGCGGACACCCTTTGGGGCTTATGGAGGTCTTCTGAAAGACTTCACAGCTACTGACTTGGCTGAATCTGCTGCCAGGGCTGCCTTGTCTGCTGGCAAAGTCTCGCCTGAAACTATCGACAGTGTTGTTGTAGGCAACGTCATACAGGTTAGTAGGGCTGAAGGGACATTTCATTCCTATTGCTTTCTTTTATCAGTTTCTAAAAATAATTCCTTTAACGTGTTGTAATGGTGTACTAGTTAATAATAGTTGAAGGTATTCATAATTTGAGGAGTCCTCTGACTCCAGAAGCAATGGCATATATAATTCAAAAGGACATATATAATTCAAAAGAACATATATTCAGAAACTGTATATCTATCTGGGATCTGTCTGGGACTTGGGATACATTTTATTGCTTCTTAAATAGCAAATTAATCTCCTTGACTTATTTGAAGTAAATTGGTTCTCTCTGTGTGCCACCAAGGAGGGTAGCAAACCCAAGCAATGCAACACATCTCCCATCATTTCTTACACACAGTAGGAGCTTGGTCAGTGTTTTGTGGGAAATGAGAAGCTCCTTTACCCTCTACCTTGCTATGTATGGTGTACAAAATAGATGATTCATTTGCAGTAATTGAAAGCTGAATATTTCTTCAAAGTGTGGCCATGAAGTGGGGACTGTCTTACTCTTCCCAGACCTCATTGGTGGGACGGAGGCTCTACACTGAGTGCATTGCCACTGACAGTACTGGGGCCCTAATCACTGTTCTCCTGACTCGTTAAGGTGGTTCCAGACTGAGAAGGGTGAGGCAGGCTGAGAAGACTGGAGGCTACTGCCACCTCCTGCGCTGAGCGCTTTCAGCTCTTAGAGCTGGGATAAGGCTCAGAAAAAGGTGCACAGTTGTCCCTTGTGAATAATGCTGCTTTGAACATCAAGTACAAGTTTTTGTGTGGACATACGTTTTTATTTCCCTTGGGTGTATACCTATGAGTGTAATTGCTAGGCTATATGGTATCTCTACATTTAATTGTTTCAGAAACTTTCAGACTGTTTGCCAAAGCAGCTGAAACATTTTACATTCATACCTACAGTGTATGAAGGTTCCACTTTTGCCACATCCTTGTCAACACTTGTTATTGTGTGTCTTTTTATTATAGCCATTCTAGTGAATATGAAGTAGTATCTCATTGTGGTTTTAATTTGCCTTTCCCTGATGACTGATGATGTGAACAACTTTTCATTAGCTTGTTGCCATTGCCGTATCTTCTTGGAGAGTGTCTAATTCATATCCTTTTCTCATTTTTTAATTGGGTTATTTGTCTTTTTATTATTGAGTCATAAGTGTTCTTTATATATCCTGGATATGAGTCCCTTAACAGATACATGATTTGTAAATATTTTTCTATACTTTGCTATCTTTTCATTTCTTAATAGTATCTTTTGGAGTATGAAAACTTTTAATTTCGATGAAGCCCAATTTCAGTTGTTGTTGCTCAGGCTTTTGGTGTCATTATCTAAGAATCCATTTCCATGTCTAAGGTCATGAAGACTTATCCCTATGTTTTCTTTTAAGTTTTATAGTTTTAGCTCTTACATTTAGGCCTTTGATTTATTTTGATTTAATTTTTATATATGTTTTGAGGTACAGGTCCAAATTCATTCTTCTGCATGTGGCTATCCAGTTGTTCTAGCACTATTTGTTGAAAAGACTATTCTTTCTCCCATTGGATGGTCTTGGCACTGTTATGGAAAATCAGTTGACCATAGACACATGATTTTATTTTTGGACTCCCAGTTCTCTTCCACTGATCTATATGTCTGTCCTTTTTATGTCAGTTCCACACTGTCTTGATCATCATTGCTTCTTTGTAAGTTTTGAAATCAAGAAATGTGAGTCCTCCTACTTAGTTATTCATTTCAAAGTTGTTTTGGCTATTCTGGGTCTCCTGCAGTTTGATAATTTTAGAATCTGTTTACCCATTTCTACAAATAAGTCAGCTAAGATTCTGATAGAGATTGTTTTGAATCTGTAGGTCAATTGAAGGAATATTGCCATGAACATGGCATGTTTTTTCACTTGTATAAATCCTCTTTAATTTTTTCAACAATGTCTTAGAGTTGTCAGAATATGTTTTGCACTTCCTTTGTTAAATTTATTCTTAAGTATTTTATTCTTTTAGATGCTATTGTGAATGGAATTGTTTTCTTATTTCATTTTCAGATTGTTCATTGCAAGTGTATAGAAATGCAGCTGATTTTTCAAAAAAAGAAATGCAATTGATTTCTATATATTAATTTTATATCCTGAAACCTTGAACTCATTTATTACTTCTAATCGTTTTCTAGTTGATTACTTAGGATTTTTTATACATAACATTATGTCATCTGAGAGTAGAAATAGTTATGTTTCTTTCTTTCCAATCTGGATTTCTTTTATTTATGTATTTATTTTTCTTACCTAATTGTTCTGTCTAGAACCTCTGATGTTGAATGAAAGAGACAAAAAATGGATATCCCTGTCTTGTTCCTGATATTGTGGGGAAAGCATCCAGTCTTTCACCATTAAGTATGATTATATGGGTTTTTCTAGATGCCCTTTATCAGGTTGAGGAAGTTCTCTTCTTTTCCTAGGTTATTGAATGTTTTTATCATGAAAAGGTGTTGGATTTTGTCAAGTGTTTTTTCTGTGTCAATTGAGATGATCGTATGAGTTTTGTTTTTTATTCTGTTGATACAACGTGATATATTAATTGACTTTCAGGTGATGAAACAACCTTACATTTCTGGATGACCCTTACACTGGTCATGGCATATAATTCTTTTTGTACATTGCTGAATTCTGTTTGCTAGTATTTTGTTGGAGATTTTTATATCCATATTCATAAGAGATATTAATCTGTACTTTTTTGTGATGTCTTTGTCTGGTTTTGATATCAGGATAATTCTGGCTTCATGATGAGTTGGGAAGTGATCCTTTTCTATTTTTTAGGAAGAGTTTGTGAATAATTGGTATTAATGCTTCTTTAAATGTTTGGTAGAATTCAATAATGAAGCCAGTCTGGGCTTTTTTGGTGAGTAGTGTTTTGATTACTAATTAATTCAGTCTTCACTTGTTATAAGTCTATTCATATTGTCTATTTTTCTTTGAGTTGGGTTCGTAGTTTGTGTCTTTCTAGGCACTTGTCCTCTTTACCTAAATTATCTAATTTATTGGCACACAACTGTTCATGGTAGTCATTTCTCGTTATTCACAGTAGTTATGTTTTATATAGTTGCCATGTACACCGAATTAGCAACTATTGAACCACAGCTCCCAGGGGAAACGACAGGGTGAGGTTCCTGTGAGCCTCCGGTCACAACATTTTTGTTAACTGATCAGTACATAACCTTGTTTTATATATGTTTCTATTTAAGGACACCGTATTTAATATATATTGTTGATTCATTAGCATTAAACTCACAGCCAACAGCACTATCACTCATGCCTGAATGAAGTTTATCTAACACATATTTTCTCTGTGAGGCACGTCACTGCCTTCTTGCACTTAGGGATACTGGAGAGCAAGGACTTCAGCATTATATACTTGGGGGCCATTTTAAACAGTAAAATCACCCACAAGAAGCACAAAAATGCATAAAACTAAATAGACTGCAGGAAGATCACTATTTCTAGGATGAGAGCTGAAGCAAGAAGGCAGAGTGTCCCCTTGTTCATCCTTAGCTAGGAACGTGCATATCAGGCAGCTAAAATTTTTCTCCACTCTGCACATGTCTGCAAATGACCACAAAAGTGCTGCAAGTATTGATTTTGGGGGTTACAAATAAATTTTAGCAAGTAGGTGAATTTGCAAGTATATAATCTACACATAATAAGAATCGACTATACTTTGAACTTATATATTTATGTCCTGCCTATTTTGAGAGGTGTTAAGGTTCTTGGTGTTAAAGGTACTAATGTACCTTTATTGTAGAGAGAGCTAAAGCAAATTTGATAAAACGTAAAGAATTGGTCCATCAAGGTGACTTCAGGGTGTTCATTGTACTATTCTTGTAACTTTACATTTTATCAAATTTGCTTTAGCTTTCTCTACAATAGAAGCTGTTGTTATTGTTAAAAAGAAAAAAAAGTTGTTTCATCCCTTCTTACTCAAAGTGTGTGGTCCTTGGACCAGCAACATTGGCCTCACCAGGGCAGTGGTTAGAAATGCAGAATCTCAGGTAGTCCTAGACCTATTTACTGAGAACCTACATTTTAACAAGATGCCCCAGTATGCATTTTAAAGTTTGGGAAGCAGTAGTCTAGTCCCACCTCTTATTCTCCTGACCATTGTTCATCTTTCCCCTTCCTAGGTCAGCCAGCCTCAGCCTTGGTTACACATTACAATCACCCGGGTGCTATTAAAAGCAACTACTGATGCCTGGGGCCACCTCCAGCCTTTCTGGTTTAATTGGTTTGGTTAGGAGCTTGAGCATCACTGTGTTAATAAAGCTTCCTCGGTTATTCCACTGTGCAGCCAAGGTTGAGAACCATAGCCTCTCATGCTTCCTCTGTTAAAGAACATACTACTTCGAGATGGCGTATTCCATTTTTAAACAGTTCTAATTGTTATGAAATTCTGTGTTCTACTGAGATTTTAATATAAGGATTTCTCATACTTTGTTTAAAATCGAGTTGGCCGAATTACAGTTTTTATTCAAATCATTAACACGTATTATATAAAATATGCTGTACCTGTATGCATTGTGTCCTACCTTAGAGCCGTATAATTTATAATTTTTGAAAAATTGTAAACATTTTACTATATTGTGTCCTTCTTCTTAATTCCTAGATATATAGAGGAAATTCTTTTTCTTTCCCTCTGTTCCAGACTTCTTCAGATGCTATATACTTGGCAAGACATGTTGGTTTGCGTGTGGGAATCCCAAAAGAGACCCCAGCTGTCACTGTTAATAGGCTCTGTGGCTCCGGTTTCCAGTCCATTGTGAATGGATGTCAGGTATAGGTAACATTTAATTCTCTGAAAATATTAATAGTTATTAGAGGAAATGCCTCACTTCAATATAACACTGTAGGTTTTTAATTTTATAGTACTTATTAGGAGAGGTCAATATTTAATTTTTCTTGGAAAAATATTCATAGAAAATAGTTCCTTGAAAGCTAGTAATGAACCTTGAAAACATTATGCTAAATGGAATAAGCCAGTCACAAAAGGACAAATACTGTATGAGTCCACTTATATGAGGTCCCTCAAGTGGTCAGATTCATAGAGACAGAAAGTAGAATGGGGATTGTTGGGGCTGGTAGGGAAGAGAGAATGGGGAGTTAGTGTTTAGTGGGTATGGGGTTTCAGTTTGGAAATTGAAAAAGACTTCTGGAGATGGATGGTGGTTGGTTGCATAACAGTGTGAATGTACTTAATGACCTGTATATTTAAAATTGGTTAGAATGGTAAATTTTATGTTATGTGTATTTTATCACAATTTTTAAAAAGCTAGTCATGACTGTCATTCCTTTTTTTTTTTTTTTAATTTGGGACATTTTTTTTTTTAACATCTTTATTGGAGTATAATTGCTTTACAATGGTGTGTTAGTTTCTGCTTCATAACAAAGTGAATCAGTTATACATATACATATGTTACCATATCTCTTCCCCCTTGCGTCTCCCTCCCTCCCACCCCTCTAGATGGTCACAAAGCACCGAGCTGATATCCCTGTGCTATGCAGCTGCTTCCCACTAGCTATCTATTTTAAGTTTGGTAGTGTATATATGTCCATGCCACTCTCTCACTTTGTCACAGCTTACCCTTCCCCCTCCCCATATCCTCAAGTCCATTCTCTAGTAGGTCTGTGTCTTTATTCCTGTCTTGCCCCTAGGTTCTTCATGACCTTCCTTTTTTTTTTTTTTCTTAGATTCCATATATATGTGTTAGAATATGGTATTTGTTTTTCTCTTACTAACTTCACTCTGTATGACAGACTCTAGGTCCATCCACCTCACTACAAATAACTCAATTTCGTTTCTTTTTATGGCTGAGTAATATTCCATTGTATATATGTGCCACATCTTCTTTATCCATTCATCTGTTGATGGACACTTAGGTTGCTTTCATGTCCTGGCTACTGTAAATAGAGCTGCAATGAATATTTTGGTACATGACTCTTTTTGAATTATGGTTTTCTCAGGGTATATTCCCAGTAGTGCGATTGCTGAATTGTATGGTAGTTCTATTTTTAGTTTTTTAAGGAACCTCCATACTGTTCTCCATAGTGGCTGTATCCATTTACATTCCCACCAACAGTGCAAGAGTGTTCCCTTTTCTCCACACCCTCTCGAGCATTTACTGTTTCTAGATTTTTTGATGATGGCCATTCTGACCAGTGTGAAATGATATCTCATTGTAGTTTTGATTTGCATTTCCTAATGATTAATGATGTTGAGCATTCTTTCATGTGTTTGTTGGCAATCTGTATATCTTCTTTGGAGAAATGTCTATTTAGGTCTTCAGCCCATTTTTGGATTGAGTTGTTTGTTTTTTTGATATTGAGCTGCATGAGCTGCTTGTAAATTTTGGAGATTAATCCTTTGTCAGTTGCTTCATTTGCAAATATTTTCTTCCATTGTGAGGGTTGTCTTTTGGTCTTGTTTATGGTTTCCTTTGCTGTGCAAAAGCTTTGAAGTGTCATTAGGTCCCATTTGTTTATTTTTGTTTTTATTTCCATTTCTCTAGGAGGTGGGTCAGAAAGGATCTTGCTGTGATATATGTCATAGAGTGTTCTGCCTATGTTTTCCTCTAAGAGTTTGATAGTGTCTGGCCTTACATTTAGGTCTTTAATCCACTTTGAGTTTATTTTTGTGTATGATGTTAGGGAGTGTTCTAATTTCATACTTTTACATGTACCTGTCCAGTTTTCCCAGCACCACTTATTGAAGAGGCTGTTTTTTCTCCACTGTATATTCTTGTCTCCTTTATCAAAGATAAGGTGACCATATGTGTATGGCTTTATCTCTGGGCTTTCTATCCTGTTCCATTGATCTATATTTCTGTTTTTGTGCCAGTACCGTACTGTCTTGATTACTATAGCTTTGTAGTATAGTCTGAAGTCAGGGAGCCTGATTCCTCCAGCTCCATTTTTCATTCTCAAGAGTGCTTTGGCTATTCGGGGTCTTTTGTGTTTCCATACAAATTCTGAAATTTTGTGTTCCAGTTCTGTGAAAAATGCCAGTGGTAGTTTGATAGGGATTGCATTAAATCTGTAGATTGCTTTAGGTAGTAGAGTCATTTTCACAATGTTGATTCTTCCAATCCAAGAACATGGTATATCTCTCCATCTATTTGTATCATCTTTAATTTCTTTCATCAGTGTCTTATAATTTTCTGCATACAGGTCTTTTGTCTCCTTAGGTAGGTTTATTCCTAGATATTTTATTCTTTTTGTTGCAGTGGTAAATGGGAGTGTTTTCTTAATTTCACTTTCAGATTTTTCATCATTAGTGTATAGGAATGCAAGAGATTTTTGTGCATTAATTTTGTATCCTGCCACTTTACCAAATTCATTGATTAGCTCTAGTAGTTTTCTGGTAGCATCTTTAGGATTCTCTATATATAGTATCATGTCATCTGCAAACAGTGACAGCTTTACTTCTTCTTTTCCAATTTGGATTCCTTTTATTTCTTTTTCTTCTCTGATTGCTGTGGCTAAAACTTCCCAAACTATGTTGAATTACAGTGGTGAGAGTGGGCAACCTTGTCTTGTTCCTGATCTTAGTGGGAATGGTTTCAGTTTTTCACCATTGAGGACGATGTTGGCTGTGGGTTTGTCATATATGGCCTTTATTATGTTGAGGAAAGTTCCCTCTGCCTACTTTCTGCATGGTTTTTATCATAAATCGGTGTTGAATTTTGTCAAAAGCTTTCTCTGCATCGATTGAGATGATCATATGGTTTTTGCCTTCAGTTTGTTAATATGGTGTATCACATTGATTGATTTGCATATATTGAAGAATCTTGCATTCCTGGGATAAACCCTACTTGATCATGGTGTATGATCCTTTTAATGTGCTGTTGGATTCTGTTTGCTAGTATTTTGTTCAGGATTTTTGCATCTATGTTCATCAGTGATATTGGCCTGTAGTTTTCTCTCTTTGTGATATCTTTATCTGGGTTTGGTATCAGGGTGATGGTGGCCTCATAGAATGAGTTTGGGAGTGTTCCTCCCTCTGCTATATTTTGGAAGAGTTTGAGAAGGATAGGGGTTAGCTCTTCTCTAAATGTTTTTTTTTTTTTTGCGGTACGCGGGCCTCTCACTGTTGTGGCCTCTCCTGTTGTGGAGCACAGGCTCCGGACGTGCAGGCCCAGCGGCCACGGCTCACGGGCCCAGCCGCTTCACAGCATGTGGGATCTTCCCGGACCGGGGCACGAACCCGCGTCCCCTGCATCGGCAGGCGGACTCCCAACCACTGCGCCACCAGGGAAGCCCTTCTCTAAATGTTTGAAAGAATTCGCCTGTGAAGCCATCTGATCCTGGGCTTTTGTTTGTTGGAAGATTTTTAATCACAGTTTCAATTTCAGTGCTTGTGATTGGTCTGTTCATATTTTCTATTTCTTCCTGGTTCAGTTTCGGGAGGTTGTGCATTTCTAAGAATGTGTCCATTTCTTCCAGGTTGTCCATTTAAGTGACATACGGTAGTTGCTTGTAGCAGTCTCTCATGATCTTTTGTATTTCTGCAGTGTCAGTTGTTACTTCTCCTTTTTCATTTCTAATTCTGTTGATTTGAGTCTTCTCCCTTTTTTTCTTGATGAGTCTGGCTAATGTTTTATCAATTTTGTTTATCTTCTCAAAGAACCAGCTTTTAGTTTTATTGATCTTTACTATTGTTTCCTTCATGTCTTTTTCATTAATTTCTGATCTGATCTTTATGATTTCTTTCCTTCTTTGGTTTGAGGAACAAAAAACTTTGGGTTCTTCTTTGTTCTGCTTTCTCTAATTGCTTTAGGTGTAAGGTTAGGTTGTTTATTTGAAACTCTCCTTGCTTCTTTTTTTTTTTTTTTGCGGTACGCAGGCCTCTCACTGTTGTGGCCTCTGCCGTTGTGGAGCACAGGCTCCGGACGCGCAGGCCCAGTGACCATGGCTCATGGGCCTAGCCGCTCTGTAGCATGTGGGATCTTCCTGGACCGGGCCACGAACCCGTGTCCCCTACATCGGCAGGTGGACTCTCAATCACTGCGCCACCAGGGAAGCCCTCTCCTTGTTTCTTGAGGTAGGATTGTATTGCTATAAACTTCCCTCTTAGAACTGCTTTTGCTGCATCCCATAGGTTTTGGGTCATCATGTTTTCATTGTCATTTGTTTCTAGGTATTTTTTGATTTCCTCTTTGATTTCTTCAGTGATATCTTGGTTATTTAGTAGTGTATTGTTTAGCCTCCATGTGTTTGTATTTTTTACACTTTTTTTCCTGTAGTTGGTATCTAGTATAGCATTGTGGTCGGAAAAGATACTTGAGACTATTTCAGTTTTCTTAAATTTACTGAGGATTAATTTGTGACCCAAGATATGATCTATCCTGGAGAATGTTCCAGGAGCACTTGAGAAGAAAGTGTATTCTGTTGATTTTGGAAGGAATGTCCTAAGTATCAATTAAGTCCATCTGGTCTAATGTGTCATTTAAAGCTTGTGTTTCCTTATTTATTTTCATTTTGGATGATTGGTGAAAGTGGGGTGTTAAAGTCCCCTACTATTTTTGTGTTACTGTTGATTTCCCATTTTATGGTTGTTAGCATTTGCCTTGAGATGCTCCAATGTTGGGTGCATAAATATTTACAATTGTTATATCTTCTTCTTGGATTGATCCCTTGATCATTATGTAGTGTCCTTCTTTGTCTCTTGTAATAGCCTTTAATTTAAAGTCTATTTTGTCTGGTATGAGTATTGCTACTCCAGCTTTCTTCTGACTTCCATTTGCATGGAGTATCTTTTTCCATCCCCTCACTTTCAGTCTGTATGTGTCCCTAGGTCTGAAGTGGGTCTCTTGTAGACAACATATATACGGGTCTTGTTTTTGTATCCATTCAGCCAGTCTCTGTCTTTTGGTTGGAGCTTTTAATCCATTTACATTTAAGGTAATTATCGATATGTATGTTCCTATTACCACTTTCTTGTTTTGGATTTGTTTTGTAGGTCTTTTCCTTCTCTTATGTTTCCTGCCTAGAGAAATTACTTTAGCATTTGTTTTAAAGCTGGTTTGATGGTGCTGAATTCTCTTAACTTTTGCTTATCTGTAAAGGTTTTAATTTCTCCATCGAATCTGAATGAGATCCTTGCTGGGTAGAGTACTCTTGATTGTAGGTTTTTCCCTTTCATCACTTTAAGTATGTCCTGCCACTCCCTTCTGGTTTACAGAGTTTATGCTGAAAGATCAGCTGTTAACCTTATGGGAATTCTGTTTTATGTTATTTGTTGCTTTTCCCTTGCTACTTTTAATATTTTTTCTTTGTATTTAATTTTTGACACCTTGATTGAATAGTGTCTTGGCATGTTTCTCCTTGGATTTATCCTGTATGGGACTCTCTGTGCTTCCTCTACTTGATTGACTATTTCCTTTCCCATGTTAGGGAAGCTTTCAACTATAATCTCTTCAAGTATTTTCTCAGACGCTTTATTTTTCTATTCTTCTTCTGGGACCCCTATAACTCAAATGTTGGTGCTTTTAATGTTGTCCCAGAGGTCTCTGAGACTGTCCTCAATTCCTTTCATTCTTTTTTGTTTATTCTGCCCTGAGGCAGTTATTTCCACCATTTTATCTTCCTGGTCCCTTATCCATTCTTCTGCCTCAGTTATTCTGCTATTGATTCCTTCTAGAGAATTTTAAATTTCATTTATTGTGTTGGTCATCATTTTTCATTTGCTCTTTAGTTCTTCTACGTCCTTGTTAAATGTTTCTTGTATTTTCTCCATTGTATTTCCAAGATTTTGGATCATCTTTACTATCATTACTCTGAATTCTTTTTCAGGTAGGCTGCCTATTTCCTCTTCATTTGTTTGGTCTGGTGGGTTTTTACCTTGCTTCTTCATCTGCTGCATATTTCTCTGTTTTCTCATTTTGTTTAACTTACTGTGTTTGCGGTCTCCTTTTTTCAGGCTGCAGGTTCATAGTTCCCATTGTTTTTGGTGTCTCTCCCCATTGGGTGAGGTTGGTTCAGTGGCTTGTGTAGGCTTCCTGGTGGAGGGGACTGATGCCTGTGTTCTGGTGGGTGGGGCTGGATCTTGTCTCTCTGGTGGGCAGGGCCACATCTGGTGGTGTGTTTTGGGGTGTCTGTGAACTTAGTATGACTTTAGGCAGCCTTTCTGCTAATGGGTGAGGTTGTGTTCCTGTCTTGCTAGTTGTTTAGCATGGAGCATCCAGCACTGGAGCTTGCTGACCATTGGATGGAGCTGGGTCTTAGTGTTGAGATGGAGATCTCTGGGAGAACTCTCGCTGATTGATATCATGTGGGACTGGGAGGTCTCTGGTGGTTCAATGTCCTGGACTCAGCTCTCCCACCTCAGAGGCTCAGGCCTGACACCTGGCCAGAGCACTGAGTCCCTGCCAGCCACACGGCACAGAAGAAAAAGAAAGAAAAAAAGGGAAGAAAAAAAAAAAAAAAAATATATATATATATATATATAAACAAATAAAAATTTTTAAAAATTAAAAAAAAAAAGAAGAGAGCAACCAAACCAATAAACAAATCCACCAATGATAACAAGCACTAAAAGCTAAACTAAGATAAACATAAAAATCAGAAATAAATCAGTTGCAGAAAGTAAACCCCAAGTCTACAGTTGTTCCCAAAGTCCACTGCCTCAGTTTTGGGAACATTTGTTGTCTATTCAGGTATTTCACAGATGCAGGGTTCATCAAGTTGATTGTGGAGATTTAATCTGCTGCTCCTGAGGCTGCTGGGAGAGATTTCCCTTTCTCTTCTTTGTTCGCACAGCTCCTGGGGTTCAGCTTTGGTTTTGGCCCCACCTCTGCATGTAGGTCACCCTCAGGCATCTGTTCCCCGCCCAGACGGGGGCGGGGTTAAAGCAGCAGCTAATTAGGGCTCTCTTGCTCACTCAGGCCGGGGAGAGGAAGGGGTATGGTAGTCATAATTGGAATGCCAGGCGAGCCCATGGCAGAGTCTGGCATGACATTGTAACAGCCTGAGGCACGCTGTATGTTCTCCTGGGGAAGTTGTCCCTGGATCTCAGGACCCTGTCAGTGGCGTGCTGCACAGGCTCCTGGGGGGGTGTGAGTAGTGACTTGTGCTTGCACACAGGATTCTTGGTGGCAGCGGCAGCAGCGTTCACAGTTCATGTCCGTCTCTGGGATCTGAGCTGATAGCCGTGGCTCATGCCCTTCTCTGGAGCTCGCTTAGGCAGTGCTCTGCCTTCTGTGGGCACATGGGGAAGGAATCCCCTCTGCTCGCACACCCTGAAACAATGGTATCTTCTGTCTTAGGCAGTTCCAGACTTTTTCCCAGACTCCCGCCGGGCTAGCCGTGGTGCACTAGCCCCTTAAGGCTGTGTTCACGCCGCCAACCCCAGTCCTCTCCCAGCGCTCCGACCGAAGCCTGAGCCTCAGCTCCCAGCCCTGCCCGCTCCGGCGGGTGAGCAGACAAGCCTCTCAGGCTGGTGAGTGCCAATCGGCACCGATCCTCTGTGCGGGACTCTCTCCTCTTTGCCCTCCGTACCTCTGTTGCTGCACTGTCCTCCGTGGCTCCGAAGCTTCCCCCACTCCGCCACCCGCAGTCTCTGCCTGCAAAGGGGCTTCTAGAGTGTGTGGAAACTTTTCCTCCTTCACAGCTCCCTCCCCGAGGTGCAGGTCCCATCCTTATTCTTTTGGCTCTGTTTTTTCTTCTTTCTTTTGCCCTACCCAGGTACGTCAGGATTTTCTTGCCTTTTGGAAAGTCTGAGGTCTTCTGCCAGCATTCTGTAGGTGTTGTGTAGGAGCTGTTCCACATGTAGATGTATTTTTGATGTATTTCTGGGGAGGAAGGTGATCTCCACGTCTTACTCCTCTGCCATCTTGAAGGTCTCTCTCCTGGAGGGTTGTTCTTTGCTGTTTTTCTGAGAAATGCAAATAGTAGAAAAATTTGGAAGAATGAAACAGGTTCCTCTTTATGAGTCCTCTAGGTTAACCTAGTTCTTATAAATCTGTGGTCTCCTTCAGATTCATCCATTAATAGGGTAAATTTTACTTTTGCCTTTTTAAAGAATTTATTCTTTATTATCTGCTGGCAATCTGTACATTTATATCAGACATTAATATCTATGCTAATTTTCAATATTTGTATTGAGTTAAGAATTACCATTCCTTGTCAAAATGTAGGTAGGATTTGTTACTTCTGCACAAATGATTGAAGTCTGTTCGTTGTTTTTTTCTCCTTGTATCTTGGGAATGGATATTTTAGCATTTGCTTTACAATTACTTTACAAATATTTCCCTTTGAGACACTGTAATGGGGAAGTTTTACTGTTAAGCAAGGATATGTTGCTTATTAGCTTTACTATTGGTTTACTGCTTAATACATACTTTTAAGTACATACTTCTGTCACAATAAAAGGTTTCATTGTTGTCATTCATTTGTTTTTAAATAGGAAATTTGTGTTAAAGACTCTGAAATTGTCTTGTGTGGAGGAACTGAAAGCATGAGCCAGGCTCCCTTCTATGTCAGAAATATTCGTTTTGGAACTACGTTTGGATCAGATCTCAAGGTTGGAACCATTAAAATTTTTAAAGATTATTTCTTATGTTATTGTACTATAATTTCAATAACAGCATTTTGGGGTAGAGAAAAATTTTTAAACCAATTTTGTTAATAGGGGATTGGCAAAATATGAATGATTTGAAATTTGTAAACTATTTCGTAGTTGTTAATTTTGACATTTTAACTCACATAAAATTAGACTTTATCTCAGCACATCTTTGGTAGTGGCATTAACACCCGGGGAGATAGAGGAAGGGAAGGAGTGGATTAAAAAGATGGGCAAAGGTTGAATTAATCTCTCTACTGAATAATTGGTAAACCAAATAATTAAATCTTTACCAAGATTTATGGAAATTTTATTTCTGGAGCCATCTCCATTGAATAGATTTCTTCTTTATCACAGAAAACATTCTCCTCAAATATAGTTTATAGTGTCCCAAATCAGTCAGATAAAAAACGACCCTTTGAGAACTGCCTGAGTAGTACTGAAAAAAAGTGATAGGGACTTGCCTCGTGGGACAGTGATTAAGACTCCACGCTCCCAATGCAGGGGGCCCAGGTTCGATCCCTGGTCAGGGAACTAGATCCCACACGCATGCCGCAACTAAGAGTTCACATGCCACAACTAAGGAGCCCACCTGCTTCAACTAAGACCTGGTGCAACCAAATAAATAAATATTTTTTAAAAAAAGAGTGATAGTATGCTGTCCTTCCCACATCAAAGGGCTGATATGACATTGTATATTCTTAGGATTTCCCAGTTGTAATCATTGATTTATCCCGTTCACACAGTTTCTCACCTTGCCTTTTTGAAAGTTGAAAGGAGTAAGACTTAGAAAATATGAGGTAATATTTAAGATACCTAATATGTTTAAGAAAACCTTTGGAAAGACAGGTCAGTGACTCAAAAGGTGACAAGGCAGTCTAGAAGAAACAGGTGGAGTACATTTATCAGAGACTTAACTAATTGGATAACAAATACCAACTGTTACTCAAGGAGCCTATTCCAGGCTCTTTTCAACCTTGTAGTAACAGCTGATTGAACCAGCTGTTCCTACCACAGAAGGCATGGGATGGAAAAAGAGCAGAGCCGCATGCTTTTGTAAGGGGCTTGTAACTGCTTTACAAAGGTGGCTGCAGGGAAGTGTTGCATGAGGACTCTGTGAAGTTTCTTACAAAATGGAACCACAAGGGTTTAAGTTTTGATGGTGGGGTGAGTGCCTGTGTGTGTCACCCTGCACGTTTAGCACTGTTGGCTCTCTTTAGAGCCCTGCATTCAGAGAGGAGGGTGTGTGCATTTTATTATGGTGTTGGATGGTTTTAAAAAAAAGTCTCAGAACCGAATATAAATCATAATACTAAATGCTTATCAGGAAATCTAATTTTACTATTTTTATTGGAACTGTTGATTATTTAAATTTAAAGAAATGACAGCATATTACTTTCAAAAGATACGCTTTACGGATCATTTTATTAATTTCTTTTAATAGCTGGAAGACTCTTTGTGGACAGGATTAACAGATCAGCATATCCAAATCCCAATGGCAATTACTGCAGAGAATCTTGCTGCAAAACATAAAATAAGCAGAGAAGACAGCGACAAATATGCCCTGCAGTCACAGCAGAGGTGGAAAGCTGGTCAGTGAAATTATTTATTATAAATATCTATAGAAAGAAAACTAGGAAAGATTTTTATCATTTTAGATTATAAAGGTCATATAATAATATTAGTTTAAAAGTATACCTTTGGAAAACCACGGTTTTTCATTATTCCTTTTTTTTAATGATTAAATATTCTATAATTGCAAATTAGCTGGGTGTTTCTCTTTTGAAGTATGTAAATACTACTTAAAAAGTAGTATGGTTAATTGGCCCTATCTGGACACTTGAATTTTGCCCCAAACTGGTCAGCAGAAGACTCTGAGGGCTATGATACACTCCATCAGAGACGATGGCTCACTGGGACAGCTGGGACAGAGAGGATGTCCTCCCCCGAGAGGCATATCATATGCACAAGAAGGGGATGATATGTTTGGGAAAGACCCATTGGGTATCCTTTTATGACTTCTCTCTCCCATTCCTAATTGAGAATCCTTGTGCCTGACTCAGAGACCCAGAACTAGTCCAAGGCCCTAGATGTGGTACCATGGTGCCCTTGTGTAACATTGCACACTGCTGGTGAGCCAGTCCAAAACGAGCAAGATGACAGCCATTCTTTTATCAGTATGGTGAGTTGAAGAAATTTGTTAGTCCTCTGAAAGGGTTTTGATAACTAAACTATTATAAATGAGCAGAAACTCTTATTTAGGGGTATTAAATACTTGGAATAGTGAGGATAAAGTTCATTTTAGCATTTCAAGAGGGATAAGTCTAATGGAGCCAATCCAACTCATCCTCTGTTTTTTGGTTACACATTTAAGTGAAAGGGTATTGGTGTAGAGGTGAAGTGTTATCAGCCTATTTCTAATTTTGCCACATACAGTTTTTCTGACTTCAGTCAAGTCATTTGTTCACCAAGTATTTATTCACTGAGCTAATAACAGAGATAAAAATATTTGCCTTCCCTTTTTTCCTAACAGTTGTTGTGAGAACCAAATAAGGAAAGTGTTAGCCTGCTATAAAGTGATATCAAAATTAAGGTCATATTATTCCTGGCTTATTCTATTTCTGAAGCTTTATATTACTATTGTCCAGTCCACTCAGTGGAGGTGGAAGTAGGTAAGCTGTTTTACTTAGAATTGTGTCAGTAATAGCACGTATAATTTCTTCAGGTTGCCTGTCATTAAATTTCAGTCATAGATTACTTGGTGACATAGACAACTTGGTAACTTTTTTTCTTATTGTGGTAAGAATACTTAATGTGGGATCTATCCTCTTAATAAAATTTTAAGTGTACAATACATTATTGTTGACTGTAGATGCAGCTTGGTAACTTTTTAATTACTTCATGTCTCACCCAGAGAAGTTAAAAAAGGGCATGAAATCCATTCAGTGCCATTACACCTGTAGGTAACAAACACTAATAGTCTAGCAGTACCTTGTAAAAAAAAATCGGAAATTGTAATTTTAAAAAGGTACAGAACGCATCTGCATGGATGATAGTATATTAAATCCTCCAATAGGCAAGGTAAGTTATGTAAGTAATAAAGGTTTATATTAAAATAGACTGAGATATACTGAAATATAGGGACTGAAATTAAACTGAAATATAGGGACTTCCCTGGCAGTCCAGTGGTTAGGACTCTGTGCTTCCACTGCAAGGGGCACAGGTTCCACACCTGGTTGGGGAACTAAGAGCCTGCAAGCTGTGTGGTGCAGCCTAAATTAATAAATTGAAGGATATATTTGATTTCATTTTTCTGCTTTCTGTTATTTTTTCCCCTGTCTTATGAATGGTCTTTCTACTATTTCAGCTAATGATGCTGGTTGCTTTAATAATGAGATGGCACCAATTGAGGTGAAGACAAAGAAAGGAAAACAGACAGTGCAGGTAGATGAACATGCTCGGCCCCAAACAACCCTGGAGCAGTTAAGTAAACTTCCTCCAGTGTTCAAGAAAGAAGGGACCGTCACTGCAGGGAACGCATCGGTAGGTAGCGCCACGGATTACCTTGAACTCTTCCTGATGTGTTCAATGCAAAATAATCATGCAGTACCTTTTAGATACCTTTCATGCTAGTCTTTGCTTATCTAGCTTAAGCTAGTAGTGTTCATATTCTATTAATTTGGGTTTTCATAGTCCAAAATAAAATATTTTAGCCAGGAGCCCTTATATAATACTTTTCCAATTTCTTAGTCTTTTCAGAATGTTAGAAGGAAATCTACCTGGCTTATTATTTTAGTTTTTCTTCCTCATGTATACAACTCATCAGATTTCTTCTTACATCTACCCACATCCGGATATAAGCTTTTTCTTGACATTCTTTCCTATTTTCCCTTAGTGAGGTTGTATTCTGTGCCTAAAACAATCTCTTTAACCCAGCAGTGTGCCACTAATACTACTTGTATCCCAAATTATGGCACTGCTTCCTGTGTATTGCCATAATCCTAATACCACTCCATTAGTTCAAACCTTGATTAACCCTATTCTTTTACCCTCTAGTTAACATCTGTTTTTGTTTCCAAGGGGATTTCTGATGGTGCTGGAGCTGTTATCATAGCTAGTGAAGATGCTGTTAAAAAACATAACTTCACACCACTGGCAAGAATTGTGGGCTATTTTGTGTCTGGATGTGATCCCGCTATCATGGGTATTGGTAAGTTTGTAGTGAAACAAACTGGTTCTGTTACATTTCTGAAGATAAGGCTTCTTTGGCATTCAGATTCCTGAAACAGTAGCCAAATCAAGGGCACTTGTAGAGAAAAGGAGATTGTTAATCGATCATTTAGACAACTTATCTTTATGAAAAACTGTGCCAGGCATAATAGGAAGATCAAGACCATGTAAACTCCTTCTGGGCAGTAATCATGTCCCGTTGTCCACTTAAGATACATAAAATTAACACACGGTAAGCAACATAGAAGGATTACGAGGTACTGATAAGACAGAAGAAAACGTGAGATGGAAAAATCATGGGGTGAAATAGAGAAGATACCCCACTGGGTGTTTTACACATGGTCCTTAATATATCTCATTTAATCTTCCCACAACTCTAGTAACTGCTATGTGAGTCTTTTTTTTTTTCTTTATTACAGTCTTAAAAGCTTACTAGCTTTCAGCTACCCGCTGTCAGCAAAATATAACTTTCATCTTAGAAATGGAATGTAGCTTGAAAAGTTAAATATCTGTATGTTGGTATGGCATTTATCATTTTGGTATCTAGGGTAGGGTATCTAGGGTTCCCAACCCCAAATGATGATCAGAATCTACCCATAACCCTACTCCGCCCCAAGGTTTTGTTTCAGTAGGTCCAGGGTAGAGCCTAGGAATGTGGGTTTTTTTCAGTGTACCTTGATTGTTTTAATGATCAACCATATTTATTTGATATAGATAAGTAGTTATTTTATAGTTTTCAGTTTAGCCTCATTTAAGAGGTTCTGATACATTTTGACATAGTTAGCAAGAAAATGTAGTTTTTCTTCCTTCTATTTCAGGGCCTGAATGTTTGCCCCGTAGTACAATAAATGCCATTGAAATGCCTCTTCAGCCAGGGCAGCTCTTGCTTTATCTGTTATAGGGTTTCATTTGTAGAAAGGATTCCAGTCCTTCAAAAGAAATGAGTTAAAAACCAGCTCAAAGCACTTCTGATGAGACGCTTATAGCCCCCAAAGGTACCCAAGGTTACACAGCTGTTAGTGGTAGGAGCTAGCACTAGGAGTAAAGTGTCCTTTTCCCAACAAGAATGCTCTACCTTCCTGAGTCCCAGTAAATAGCAGAGTGGTATGGAAACAGTCCTTTAAAAATTAGCTTGTGGCCTAGCATATTGTTACAATCGAGTGTAATGATTCTAAGTTAATATGAACACATTTAGTCATGCTGACTGTGGTTATGAAGACATGGAAGTATGTACAATGGTTTTACACCCTCAGCTTTTAGTTCTGTGTATCTTTCACCCCTGTAGGATACTTCACCCCCTGACCATGCTGGATAACTGATGCTCTTCTGTCGACTACCCATCCCATTTTCATGTCTTAGAGATACAAAGAGAATCTGGAATTAGATTCTGTATTAAATCAGTAGCCAGTATAGAACTGATGCTTTAAATCGAAAAGTGTTAATTGGATGGCCCTGCCAATCAGCAGGCTGTTGTCCAAGAAACTTTTTAACTAGGTGACAAAATTAATTACATTGTATTTAGATTGTGTTTTGCTTTTCTTATAAAGACTGATTTCCCATTTTACCTTAGGTATGTTTGTGAAACTTGATACAGAATATTTGACTACTTGAATTCAACAAAACACAACCACATATTTTTCTTTTTAGACATTTACAGCAATTTCATTCTCTAAGAACCGATAGAGAAGTAGATAATCATCCCTAGCCAGATTTTTTTTTTTTTTGGAAAGAAATATCAATTTACTTAAAGATTATGAGCAGTATTAAACTGTCATCAGTGATCATCAGAAATCTGGGAGCTAAAGTTTATTTCAAAAGTTTTTTAAGGTGGATTTGCATTTCTTCAGTGGGGGTTATATTTTACTTCAAATCTCTGCTTACCATTGGAGTTATAAATGTCTCCTTGCTTCAGATATCTTTTCCCTAAAGTGCCTGGTAGCTTCCTATCTTACTATGCCCATATGGAGATACTACTGCTGTTTCTTGCCTTTTGTCCAAATGGGCCTGAAAATTCAGTGTAGCCACAGTCACTTCTATACTGGGAATACATATGATTTGTATCCCAGGAGAGCGCTCAGTCTGCCTTACCATTTGGTATTAAGAATGATCTATACACGGGAATTCCCTGGTGCTCCTGTGGTTAGGACTTGGCACTTTCACTGCTGTGGCCCCAGTTCAATCCCTGGTTGGGGAACTAAGATCCCACAAGCTGCACAAAGAGGCCAAAAATTTTTTAAAATAAAAACTAAAATAAAAAAAACAAACATTAAAAAAAAGAGCAAAAAAACACCTATGTGTGTATGTACATAAATGTGTATATAAATTTGTGGAACCAATGAGCTTCGATCTCTCAATATTACCATGAGGGAAATAGGAGTTCATTAATAAAGGAAGACTTTGTAGAAAAAAAAAAGAATGATCTATACAAAACCCCATATGACTCCTTTGGCTGTTTGAACTCTTAAAGTCACTTATGGTAGAACTTTTCATGTTAAGTCTCTCATCTACAACTTGCATAAACAGCTTTTCACCCTGGTCCCATTTCCTGTTTCTTTATTGTCATATCATTTAGTATTGTGTGCTATCAGGGTGGCAAGATTTTCAGCTACTAACTGTCACTTTATTTCCTCCTTACTTACCTGATTAGTAAAGAAGGAGAAATTTGATACTTATAAGATGAAATTGGGTTTTGTTCTTATATAGGTCCTGTCCCTGCTATCAATGGGGCACTGAAGAAAACAGGACTAAGTCTTAAGGATATGGATTTGGTAGAAGTAAGTGTTCTATGTTTTTTACAGCACAGATAAACCACCAACTTCTATTGCATAAATGGCTTTAGTTTGATTTTTATAGCTCTTTTTGTTTTAGTACCATTAAACTTTCCAAATGATGTGAATGTAAATAAGTATTACTTTCATTACATGCCTGTATTGGCATATAATCAGGCCATACCTGATTAAAATGCCTTATTTATATTTGAATAATTAAAAGAGCCTGATTTCTTCTACTAAAGTATAAACTCTTAGAAACTTTTTATGACGTCGTAAGATTCTACTACATTTTAGACTATTAATGTTCCTGTTGCATTGAATTGAATGTTATATAAGGTGGGTGAGAAATAAGTAACTTTACCCTTATTTTATGGATTAAAGTGAAAAAATACAGGTAAAAAATTGACCTCATAGAAAAACAATAATCTGATCCTAAATCTAAAAGATTCTTGCACTTCTGCCAAGTTCACAACCACCCCCATCCCCCAGACTTACCTTTGGCTTTTACACCATAGTGGGGCTTGATTTGGAACACACCTATCATAATTTTTGGCGTTGGAAACTTAAATTTATTGCAAGGGTGATTTGTTTAATGTTAATTTAAAACAAAGGCATCTTAAATATTTAGTACAATTAAAAGAAAGGATAAAGAAAATGCTTAAAAATGGATTATATACATTCTACATTTGGGGAGTATTTGAAAATTTTAGGTAATTAAGCTACTTGATATTGGGAAATAACTAATATAACAAAGGAAATCTCTCTATTTAAACTGATAGAGAAAGGGCCTTTTCACTCTAGGCACATGTGTGACGTCCTCTGTGGTAATCTCTCACCAAGTAACTGTGGTTTCAGATGAATGGTTTATCCTTAAATCTCTTCTTCCATTCTTTGGTGGTCATAGCTCAGAGCTTCAAAGGGGGCTGCTTAATTACCATATTTGTATTAGCAAATAAGTACCATTAAATTTCTGACTTTACATTTCACACTTAAAACTCTTGAAATATGTCAGCTCCGCAGAGCTGTTCATCACCATTTATAGATGTATAAACACTCAAAGACATAGCTCTCAACACCCTGACATGATTGTCTTTGGGACTTCTGATGATCGTGAGGTCATTTTTCCTAGGTCTTTATTCCTGTCCTGCCCCTTTTCCTGCATCTTTATTCCTGTCCTGCCCCTATGTTCTTCAGAAGCAATCTTTTTTTTTAGATTCCATATATATGTGTTAGCGTACAGTATTTGTTTTTCTGTTTCTGACTTAATGCACTCTGTATGACAGTCTCTAGGTCCATCCACCTCACTACAAATAACTCAATTTCATTTCTTCTTATGGCTGAGGAATATTCCATTGTATATATGTGCCACATCTTCTTTATCCATTCATCTGTTGCCGGACACTTAGGTTGCTTCCATGTCCTGGCTACTGTAAATAGAGCTGCAGTGAACATTGTGGTACATGACTCTTTTTGAATTATGGTTTTCTCAGGGTATATGCCCAGTAGTGGGATTGCTGGGTCATATACTAGTTCTGTTTTTAGTTTTTTAAACAACCTCCATACTGTTCTCCATAGTGGCTGTATCAATTTACATTCCTGCCAACAGAGCAAGAGGGTTCCCTTACCTCCACACACTCTCCAGCATTTATTCTTTGTAGATTTTTTGATGATGGCCATTCTGAGTGGTGTGAGGTGATACTTCATTGTAGTTTTGATTTGCATTTCTCTAATGATTAGTGATGTTGAGCATCCTTTCATGTGTTTGTTGGCAATCTGTATTTGTTCTTTGGAGAAATGTCTGTTTAGGTCTTCTGCCCATTTTTGGATTGGGTTGTTTGTTTTTTTGTTATTGAGCTGCATGAGCTCCTTGTATATTTTGGAGATTAATCCTTTGTCAGTTGCTTCATCTGCAAAAATTTTCTCCCATTCTGAGGGTTGTCTTTTGGTCTTGTTTATGGTTTCCTTTGCTGTGCAAAAGCTTTTAAGTTTCATTAGGTCCCATTTGTTTATTTTTGTTTTTATTTCCATTTGTCTGGGAGGTGGGTCAAAAAGGATCTTGCTGTGATGTAAGTCATAGAATGTTCTGCCTATGTTTTCCTCTAAGAGTTTGATAGTGTCTGGCCTTACATTTAGGTGTTTACTCCATTTTGAGTTTATTTTTGTGTACGGTGTTAGGGAGTGTTCTAATTTCATTCTTTTACATGTACCTGTCCAGTTTTCCCAGCACCACTTATTGAAGAGGCTGTCTTTTCTCCATTGTATATTCTTGCCTCCTTTATCAAAGATAAGGTAACCATATGTGTGTGGATTTATCTCTGGGCTTTCTATCCTGTTCCGTTGATCTATATTTCTGTTTTTGTGCCAGTACCATACTTCCTTGATTACTGTAGCTTTGTAGTATAGTCTGAAGTCAGGAAGCCTGATTCCTCCAACTCCAGTTTTCTTTCTCAAGATTGCTTTGGCTGTTCGGGGTCTTTTGTGTTTCCATACAAATTGTGAAATTTTTCTTCTAGTTCTGTGATGAATGCCATTGGTAGTTTGATAGGGATTGCATTGAAACTGTGAATTGCTTTGGGTATTATAGTCATTTTCACGATGTTGATTCTGCCAATCCAAGAACATGGTATATCATTCCATCTGTTTGTATCATCTTTAATTTCTTTCAGCAGTGTCTTACAGTTTTCTGCATACAGGTCTTTTGTCTCCTTAGGTAGGTTTATTCCTAGGTATTTTATTCTTTTTGTTGCAATGGTAAATGGGAGTGTTTCCTTAATTTCTCTTTAAGATTTTTTGGTGTTAGTGTATAGAAATGCAAGAGATTTCTATGCATTAATTTTGTATGCTGCTACTTTACCAGATTCATTGATTAGCTCTAGAAGTTTTCTAGTAGCATCTTTGGGATTCTCTATGTATAGTATCATGACATCAGCAAACAGTGACAGTTTTACTTCTTCTTTTCGATTTGGATTTGTTTTATTTCTTTTTCTTCTCTCATCTCTGTGACTAAAACTTCCAAAACTATGTTGAATGATAGCAGAGTGAGCAACCTTGTCTTGTTCCTGATCTTAGAGGAAATGGTTTCAGTTTCTCACCATTGAGAACGATGTTGGCTGTGGGTTTGTCATATATGACCTTTATTATGTTGAGGTAAGTTCCCTCTATGCCTACTTTCTGGAAGGTTTTTATCATACATGGGTATTGAATTTTGTCTAAAGTTTTTTCTACGTTTATTGAGAGGATCATATGATTTTTCTCCTTCAATTTGTTAATATGGTGTATCACATTGATTGATTTGTGTATATTGAAGAATCCTTGCATTCCTGGGGTAAACCCCACTTGATCATGGTGTATGATCCTTTTAATGTGCTGTTGGATTCTGTTTGCTAGTATTTTGTTCAGGATTTTTGCATGTATGTTCATCAGTGATACTGGTCTGTAGTTTTATTTTTTTGTAACATCTTTGTCTGTTTTGGTATCAGGGTGATGGTGGCCTCATAGAATAAGTTTGGGAGTGTTCCTCCCTCTGCTATATTTTGGAAGCATTTGAGAAGGATAGGGGTTAGCTCTTCTCTAAATGTTTGATAGAATTCGCCTGTGAAGCCATCTGGTCCTGGGCTTTTGTTTGCTGGAAGATTTTTAATCACAGTTTCAATTTCAGTGCTTGTGATTGGTCTGTTTATATTTACTATTTCTTCCTGGTTCAGTCTCGGGAGGTTGTGCATTTCTAAGAATGTGTCCATTTCTTCCAGGTTGTCCATTTTATTGGCATATAGTTGCTTGTAGTAATCTCTCATGATCCTTGTATTTCTGCAGTGGCAGTTGTTACTTCTCCTTTTTCATTTCTAATTCTATTGACTTGAGTCTTCTTCCTTTTTTTCTTGGTGAGTCTGACTAGTGGTTTATCAATTTTGTTTATCTTCTCAAAGAACCAGCGTTTAGTTTTATTGATCTTAGCTATTGTTTCTTCTTTACTTTTTCATTTATTTCTGATCTGATCTTTATGATTTCTTTCCTTCTGCTAACTTTGGGGTTTTTTTGTTTTTCTTTCTCTAATTGCTTTAGGTGTAAGGTTAGGTTGTTTATTTGAGATGTTTCTTGTTCCTTGAGGTAGGATTGTAGTGCTATACTTCCCTCTTAGAACTGCTTTTGCTGCATCCCATAGGTTTTAGGTCATCAAGTTTTCATTGTCATTTGTTCCTAGGTATTTTTTGACTTCCTCTGATTTCTTCAGTGATCTCTTGGTTATTTAGTAGTGTATTGTTTAGCCTACATGTGTTTGTATTTTTTACAGATTTTTTTCCTGTAATTGATATCTAGTCTCAGCGTTGTGGTTGGAAAAGATACTTGAGGGCTTCCCCGGTGGCACAGTGGTTGAGAGTCCGCCTGCCGATGCAGGGGACACAGGTTCGTGCCCCAGTCCAGGAGGATCCCACATGCCGCGGAGCAGCTGGGCCTGTGAGCCATGGCCGCTGAGCCTGCGCATTCGGAGCCTGTGCTCCACAATGGGAGAGGCCACAATAGTGAGAGGCCTGCGTACCGCAAAAAAAAAAAAAAAAAAAAAAAAAAAACTGAAAGATACTTGATACGATTTCAATTTTCTTAAGTTTACCAATGCTTTATTTGTGACCCAAGATATGATCTATCCTGGAGAATGTTCCATGAGCACTTGAGAAGAAAGTGTATTCTGTTGTTTTTGGATGGAATGTCCTATAAATATCAATTAAGTCCATCTTGTTTAATGTATCATTTAAAACTTGTGTTTCCTTATTTATTTTCATTTTGGATGATCTGTCTATTCGTGAAAGTGGGGTGTTAAAGTCCCCTAGTATGATTGTATTACTGTCGATTTCCCCTTTTATGGCTGTTAGCATTTGCCTTAAGTATTGAGGTGCTCCTATGTTGGGTGCATAAATATTTACAATTGTTATATCTTCTTCTTGGATTGATCCCTTGATCATTATGTAGTGTCCTTCTTTGTCTCTTGTAATAGCCTTTAATTTAAAGTCTATTTTGCCTGACATGAAGATTGCTACTCCAGCTTTCTTTTGATTTCCATTTGCGTGGAATATCTTTTTCCATCCCCTCACTTTCAGTCTGTATGTTCCCTAGGTCTAAAGTGGGTCTCTTGTAGACACCAAATATACAGGTCTTGGTTTTGTATCCATTCAGCCAATCTATGTCTTTTGGTTGGAGCATTTAATCCATTTACATTTAAGGTAGTTATCGATATGTGTGTTCCTATTACCATTTTCTTAATTACTTTGGGTTTGTTATTGTAGGTCTTTTCCTTCTCTTGTGTTTCCTGCCTAGAGAAGTTCCTTAAGGATTTGTTGTAGAGCTGGTTTGATGTTGCCAAATTCTCGTAGCTTTTGCTTGTCTGTAAAGGTTTAAATTTCTCCATCGAATCTGAATGAGATCATTGCTGGGTAGAGTAATCTTGGTTGTAGGTTTTTCCCTTTCATCACTTTAAATATGTCCTGCCACTCCCTTGTGGCTTGCAGAGGTTCTGCTGAAAGATCAGATGTTAATCTTATGGGGATTCTCTTGAATGTTATTTGTTCCTTTTCCCTTGCTGCTTTTAATATTTTCTTTGTATTTAATTTTTGTTAGTTGATTGATATGTGTCGTGGTGTGTTTCTCCTTGGATTTATCCTGTATGGGACTCTCTGTGCTTCTGGACTTGATTGACTATTTCCTTTCCCACATTAGGGAAGTTTTCAACTATAATCTCTTCAAATATTTTCTCAGTCCCTTTCTTTTTCTCTCCTTCTTCTGGGACCCCTATAATTTGAATATTGGTGTGTTTAATGTTATCCTAGAGGTCTCTGAGACTGTCCTCAATTCTTTTCATTCTTTTTTGTTTATTCTGCCCTGAGGCAGTTATTTCCACTATTTTATCTTCCAGGTCACTTATCCATTCTTCTGCCTCAGTTATTCTGCTATTGATTCCTTCTAGAGAATTTTTAATTTCATTTATTGTGTTCTTCATCATTGTTTGTTTGCTCTTTAGTTCTTCTAGGTCCTTGTTAAACATTTCTTGTATTTTCTCCATTCTATTTCCAAGATTTTAGATCATCTTTACTATCATTACTCTGAATTCTTTTTCAGGTAGACTGCCTATTTCCTCTTCATTTGTTTGGTCTGTTGGATTTTTACCTTGCTCCTTCATCTGCTGTGTCTTTCTCTGTCTTCTCATTTTGCTTAGCTTACTGTGTTTTGAGGTCTCCTTTTCATAGGCTGCAGGTTTGTAGCTCCCATTGTTTTTGGTGTCTGCCCCTAGTGGCTAAGGTTGGTTCAGTGGGCTGTGTAGGCTTCCTGGTGGAGGGGACTAGTGCCTTTGTTCTGGTGGATGAGGCTCGATCTTGTCTTTCTGGTGGGCAGGACGCGTCTGGTGGTGTGTTTTGGGGTGTCTGTGGACTTATTATGATTTTAGGCAGCCTCTCTGCTAATGGGCAGGGTTTTGTTCCTCTCTTGCTAGTTGTTTGTCCTAGGGTGTCCAGCACTGTAGCTTGCTGGTCATTGAGTGGAGCTGGGTCTTAACATTGAGATGGAGATCTCTGGGAGAGCTTTTGCCGTTTGATATTACATGGAGCTGGGAGGTCTCTGGTGGACCAATGTCCTGAACTCGGCTCTCCACCTCAGAGGCTCAGACGTGACACCCGGCTGGAGCACCAAGACTCTGTCAGCCACCCAGCTCAGAAGAAAATGGAGGAAAAAAAGAAAGAGAACGAGAGAGAGAGAGAGAGAGGGAAGGAGGGAGGGAAAAGAGAGAGAGAGAGAAAGAAAGGAATAACAAAAGAAAGAAAGAATACAATAATATACAATTTTTTTAATTATTAAAAATAAAAAAATTTAAAAGTAGTTTAAAAAGAAACAGAGAGCAACCAAACCAAAAAACAAATCCACCAATGATAACAAGCGCTAAAAACTATACAAAACAAACAAAATGGACAGATAGAAAGAACCCTAGGACAAATGGTAGAAGCAAAGCTATACAGACAAAATCACACAAAGAAGCATATACATACACACTAACATAAGGAGAAAAAGGAAAAAAATATATATTTTAAAAAAAGGAAAAGAGCAACCCAATCAATAAGCAAATCTCCAAATGATAATATGCTCTAAATACTAAACTAAGATAAACATAAAACCAGAAACAAATTAGATGCAGAAAGCAAACCCCCAAGTCTACAGTTGATCCCAAAGTACACTGCCTCAATTTTGGGATGTTTCGTTGTCTATTCAGGTATTCCATAGATGAAACGTACATCAATTTAATTGTGGAGATTTAATCTGCTGCTCCTGAGGCTGCTGGGATAGATTTCCCTTTCTCTTCTTTGTTCGCACAGCTCCCAGGGTTCAGCTTTGGATTTGGCCCCATCTCTGCGTGTAGGTCACCTGAGGGCATCTGTTCCCTGCCCAGACAGGACGGGGTTAACCTAGCAACTGATTAGGGGGCTCTGGCTCACTGAGGCCAAGGGAAGGGAGGGGTACAGAATGCGGGGCGAGCCTGCAGTGGCAGAGGCCAGCGTGACATTGTCATAGCCTGAGGCACGACCTGTGTTCTCCTGGAGATGTTGTCCCTGGATCACAGGACCCTGGGAGTGGCAGGCTGCACAGGCTCCCAGGTGGGGAGGTGTGTAGAGTGACCCGTGCTTGCACACAGGATTCTTCGTGGCTGCAGCATCAGCCTTAGCATCTCATGCCCGTCTCTGCGGTCCACGCTGATAGCCACGGCTCATGCCCATCTCTGGAGCTTGTTTAGGCGGTGCTCTGAATCCCCTCTCCTCGCGCACCCTGAAACAATGCTCTCTTGCCTCTTAGGCAGTTCCAGACATTTCCCTGGACTCCCTCCCGTCTAGCTGTGGCGCACTAGTCCCCTTCAGGCTGTGTTCACGCAGCCAACCCCAGTCCTCTCCCTGGGATCTGACCTCTGAAGCCTGAGCCTCAGCTCCCAGCCACCACCCGTCCCGGTGGGTGAGCAGACAAGCCTCTCAGGCTGGTGAGAGCTGGTCAGTACTGATCCTCTGTGCGGGAATCTCTCCGCTTTGCCCTCTGCACCCCTGTTGCTGCGCTCTCCTCCGTGGCTCTGAAGCTTTCCCCCCACCCATCCCCGGTCTCTGCCAGTGAAGTGTCTTCCTAGTGTGTGGAAACTTTTCCTCCTTCACAGCTCCCTCCCAGAGGTGCAGGTCCCATCCCTATTCTTTTGTCTCTGTTTTTTCTTTTTGCTTTTACCCTACCCAGTACATGGGGATTTTCTTGCCTTTTGGGAGGTCTGAGGTCTTCTGCCAGCGTTCAGTGGGTGTTCTGTAGGAGCTGTTCCACATGTAGATGTATTTTTGATGTATGTGTGGAGATGAAGGTGAGCTCCACGTCTTACTCTTCCACCATCTTGAAGCTGTCCCCCGTGACGGTTTATTCTTTATTGTCTATCAGTTTCTTGGAAGTGTGGCTAGTAGTACTGAGTAGTAGTAATAATAATAGCAACTATTTATTGAATACTTCCTTGTGTCAGATAATACACTAAACACTTAATACCCATGATTTCACTTAACCTTAACAATAACTCTTAAGATGATACGACAGTCACATTTTACCACTGAAGAAATTTGAGTGTCAAGAGAGTTTAAAGAACATCCATATAGCCAAGATTTGAACTGTCCATCTAGCTGCAGAACCTGTGGGCTTTCTACAGTATCCTACTGCCTCTAGTCCAGTATCCGTTTATAGTATCACTGAGGATTTCTTTTCTCTAAGGGATATATTACACTTAAAGTATCACTTAGTAAATATACCCGTTTTCAAACCTGTTACCTTTACAAAGAATGATTGAAGATAAATTAAAATAACCTTGCAATGTAATTTAAGTAGGAAAAAAAAACAGGATAATTAGCCATTGACAGGACTGGACAGTTCTCAGAAATAAGTTTGTGAATAAGCATTTTTATTAGTGTTTTGATTGTTTTAAGGTGAATGAAGCTTTTGCTCCCCAGTACTTGGCAGTTGAAAAGAGTTTGGATCTTGACCGAAGTAAAACCAACGTGAATGGAGGGGCCATTGCTTTGGGTCACCCATTAGGGGGATCTGGATCAAGGATTACTGCACACCTGGTTCATGAATTAAGGTACATGCTAGAAATTGTTGCTTTTCAGATTTGCCATCTTTTGTGTAAAGGCACGAATTTGGGTTTCCCCAGAACAATCCAACATTTTTCATTCTTCTTCGTACCGCCTCGCACTAATTCTCACCAGGAACAGGTTATTTGGATATACCCCTTTTTCAGTAGACCTCATAGATGACTCAGTTGACTTGTTGGTGCCTCTGCTCTTGGGATGCCCGCTCTTACTCACTTTCGCAGTGCAGCCACTCAGCACGTGTTCACTGAGGGCCTAGTGTACATCTGGGCCCATCCCTGGTGCTGGTGCAGAGCAGCGAGCCCGTGATGAGGCCCTGGTTCTCATGGCACTTGCATTCTAGTGCCAGTTATAGGACTGAGACACAATTATTTAAGAAAACAAAATACTGATCTAGGTGCTATCATTCAAGAAACCTAAGCAAACTGACAATTTGGGTCTGAGCTAAGTTTTTCCTTCATTCTTTCCAGGGTTCCAGGAGGAGCCTTCTGTGTGTTTGATACTTTTCAGTTTTAATGGAAGAGCTCCTCCTTCTGTACTGTGTATTTTGGATCATTTTGCTCTGTTAGTAGGGAAATTGCAAACAAAACCAAATATGTCAGGGCAGAAAATCACTCTGCCCCCCTGTGAAGTTAAGGTAAATGGGACTCCTGTTTCACTTCATGATTGAGATGAAATGAGTGATTAATGTGCACAAAAAATAATTCCTTGATGGTTTCTCAAGGTTATTCTATCAGGACTGAAGAATTAGAGCAGATGGTACTTTAAAGGTGTCTGATTTTTATGAAAGGGACATGAAATGTTTCTAAATTATCTGACCTTTCATATGGATGAACTTCAGTAATTATACTTATTTTAAGGTTCATAAAAATCTAAAACAAATAAACCAAAGGGGCTGAGTATTTACTCCCCCTTCTTCAACTTCCAGTTTATCCCAATTACCTCCTGTCGTCACTCCTTCCTCACAGCAGCCTAAGCTTTTCTATTTGTTTCAGCCTCCCTCTTCTTTGTTACTACTTTTTTTAAAAAATAAGACTATCCAGCTTTCCAAATTCTTTCTCCTCTTTTCTCCAATATTGAGGACTGGAAAAAAGATTGAGCTGATGAGCTGAACAAGAATGAATAATGCAAATGTGACCATTATAAATACTATTTACTTAATTATCTAATTCTGTCCATTCTTTATTCAAGTAGATTTCAGCCACTGCTTTCTTTCTTAGGCGTCGGGGTGGAAAATACGCTGTAGGATCGGCCTGCATTGGAGGGGGCCAAGGAATTGCGGTCATCATTGAGAACACAGCTTGAGGAGAGCAGGGAGCCTGCCCTCGTCCACGCTCACATGACTTGTCCAGGCCACAGTACGCCAGGTGACCTTCAGAGAAGCTGTGAAGGTCATGCCATGCCCTGCACTGAGAGTGATTGAGTTTGGTCAAGGAATGGTGAGGCAAAGATGCATTTATCATGAACAAGAGCCCATGCCAGAATAAATTCTCTCAAATTTGTACCAAATATGCTGCATTTCTGAACTAAAATCCAACTATAGAAGGCCTTAAACGGAATTGTATCCTTGCCAAATAACCACCGCTTATGTCTTAGATAATATGATTGCAGGGAAATTGAATAAATTCTGCCTTAACTTCAGCTAATCCTTTCCTATCGTTTCTTGTATTTTTCTAAATTTTTAATTGAGGTAAAATACACATAACATAAAAGTTACCATCTTAATCATTTTTAAGCCTATAGTTCAGTGGCATTAAATACATTCACACTGTTATGCAACCATCACCACAATGCATCTCCAGAATTCTTTTCATCTTGGAGAACTGAAACTCTACACCCATTCAACAACTCCCCATTCCTCCCTCTCTGCAGCCCTTGGCAACCACCTTCTGCTTTCTGTCTCTCTGCAGCTGACTCCAACAGGTCCCTCATATAAGTGGAATCATACAGCACTTGTCCTTTTGTGCCTGGCTTATTGCACATAGCATAATGTTCTCAAGTTCATCCATGTTGTATCATGTGTCAGAATTTTCTTCTTTTTTAAGGCTGAATAATATTGCATTATAGATAGATAGATAGATAACCACATTTTGTTTTTTCTCTCATCTGTTGATGGACATTTGGGTTGCTACCACCTCTTGGCTATTGTGAGTAATGCTGCTCTAAACATGGGTGTACAGATATGTATTCATGGCCTTGCTTTCAGTTCTTTCAGGTGTATACTGAGAAGTGGAATTCCTGAATCGTATGATGATTCTGTTTTTAATATTTAAAGGAATTGCCGTACTGTTTTCCATAGCAGCTATACTATTTTACACTCCCACCATTATCGCACATGGGTTTAAATTTTTCCACATCCTCACCAATACTTGCTGTTTTCTGTTTCTTTTTTATAATAGCCATCTTAATTAGTATGAGGTGGGAGGATTGGTTCAAGATGGTGGAGTAGAAGGACGTGCACTCACTCCCTCTTGCGAGAGCACTGGAATCACAACTAACTGCTGAACAATCATCGACAGGAAGACACTGGAACTCATCAAAAATAATACCCCACATCCAAAGACAAAGGAGAAGCCGCAGTGAGACGGTAGGAGGGGCACAATCACAATAAAATCAAATCCCATACCTGCTGGGTGGGCGACTCACAAACTGGAGAACACTTATAGCACAGAAATCCACCCACCGGAGTGAAGGTCCTGAGCCCCACGTCAGGCTTCCCAACCTGGAGGTCTGGCAACGGGAGGAGGAATTCCTAGAGAATCAGACTTTGAAGGCTAGCAGAATTTGATTGCAGGACTTTGACAGGACTGGGGGAAACAGAGATTCCTCCCTTGGAGGGCACACACAAAGTAGTGTGCGCATCGGGACCCAGAGGAAGGAGCAGTGACCCCATAGGAGACTAAACCAGACATACCTACTATTGTTGGAGGGTCTCCTGCAGAGGCGGGGAGTGGCTGTGTCTCACCGTGAGGACAAGGACACTGGCAGCAGAAGTTCTGAGAAGTACTCCTCAGCGTGAGTCCTCCCAGAGTCCGCCATTAGCCCCACCAAAGAGCCAGGTGGGCTCCAGTGTTGGGTCACCTCAGGCCAAACAACCAACAGGGAGGGAACCCAGCTCCACCCATTAGCAGACAAGCGGATTAAAGTTTTACTGAGCTCTTCCCACCAGAGCAACAGCCAGCACTACCCACCACCAGTCCCTCCCATCAGGAAACTTGCACAAGCCTCTTAGATAGCCTCATCCACCAGAGGGCAGACAGCAGAAGCAAGAAGAACTGCAGTCCTGCAGCCTGTGGAACAAAAACCACATTTACAGAGAGACAAAATGAAAAGGCATAGGGTTATGTACCAGATGAAGGAACAAGATAAAACCCCAGAAAAACAACTACGTGGGGCTTCCCTGGTGGCGCAGTGGTTGAGAGTCCGCCTGCCGATGTAGGGGACACGGGTTCATGCCCCGGCCCGGGAAGATCCCACATGCCGCGGAGCGGCTAGGCCCATGAGCCATGGCCGCTGAGCCTGCGTGTCTGGAGCCTGTGCTCCACAACGGGAAAGGCCACAACAGTGAGAGGCCCGCGTACCGCAAAAAAAAAAAAAAAAAAGCTACAGTGAGGTATCACCTCACACCAGTTAGAATGGGCATCATCAGAAAATCTACAAACAACAAGTGCTGGAGAGGGTGTGGAGAAAAGGGAACCCTCTTGCACTGTTAGTGGGAATGTAAATTGATACAGCCACTATGGAGAACAGTATGGAGGTTCCTTAAAAAAATTAAATTAGAATTACCATATGACCCAGCAATCACATTACTGGACATATACCCAGAGAAAACCATAATTCAAAAAGACACATGCACCACATTGTTCCTTGCAGCACTATTTACAATAGCCAGATCATGAAAGCAACCTAAATGCCCATCGACAGATAAATGGATAAAGAAGATGTGGTACATATATACAATGGAATATTGCTCAGCCATAAAAAGGAATGAAATTGGGTCATTTGTAGAGACGTGGATGGATCTAGAGACTGTCATACAGAGTGAAGTAAGTCAGAAAGAGAAAAACAAATGTCGTATACTAACTCATATATGTGGAACCTAGAAAAATGGTACAGATGAACTGGTTTGCAGGGCAGAAATAGAGACACAGATGTAGAGAACAAACGTATGGACACCGATGGAGGAAAGTGGTGGGGGAGGGGTGGTGGTGGGATGAATTGGGAGACTGGGATGGACATATATACACTAATATGTATAAAACAGATAACTAATAAGAACCTGCTGTATAAAAAAATAAATAAAATTCAAAAAAAATTAGTATGAAGTGATATCTCACTGTGGTCTTGAGTTGCTTTTCCTAATTATTAGTGATGTTGAGCATCTTTTCCTATGATTGTTGGCCATTCATATATCTTTTTTGGAGAAATATCTAAGTCCTTTGCCCATTTTTTAAATTGAATTTTTTATTTTTTGTTGTTGAGTTGTCCTGTATTTTATAAAAATATTTTGAAACCCAGTTCAATTTGTGTGTGGAGTGACGTTCATAATTCATTCTGAGATAAACGCCCAAGGAGCAAAATTACTGAATTTAGTCTTGATATTAATAAACAACATCATATTAGATTGATTTTTCCCTTGAATGAAGACAGTGCTGGTTATGTATTATAACTCCTCAAATACATTTGAATCGGAGCATAGCTTCCTTAAGGAAGATTTATGTTTATTTTAAGGACCATATCTGTACATGGAAAATGTGGAGTTGAGAAAGGCTACAAGTCAAGTCTCAGAAGAAGGCCTGTGTCACCCCTTCTCCCCCACCACCAGCACTTCCCAGCAGTCAGAAAGGAATGTTGTCATTAATGTTTATTACACTAGCCAACTAAAAGGGGGAAAGTGAGTCAGTAGAAAGTAGCTCTTATAAACCAATGGGTTTATGCTAAAATTTAGAGAAGCCACAGACTGAAGACAACAAAGTTTTGCCTGGATTTCATCCCTCTCCTTTAACTTTCCCAGTTTACCTAAATTACGTCCTGTTCTGCACACCTCTCCCCAGGGGACATTTGGCAATATCTGGAGGTTCGTTGGTTGTCATGACTGGGGAGGGGCTGCGACTGACACCTGGTGGGTAGAGGCCAGGGCTGCTGCTAAACCTCCTGCAACACACAGGACAGCCCCTCCAGCAAAGGATTATCAGGCCCCACAGGACAGCCCCTCCAGCAAAGGATTATCAGGCCCCAAAATGTCAGGAGTGCTACTGTTAAAAAATCCTCCTTTAACCCTAAATCCAACCATCCCCTTCTCATGTCACCTCCCTGTTCTGTTTGTTCATACACATACATGGGTACATGTCTACACACACACACACACACACACACACACACACACATTTTAATATGAAAGTATTCAGCTTTCTAAATTCTCCTGCTGAGATTATATATAGACCAATATTGAGGATCGGGGGAGAGGCTGGGAAGGTGAGATGAATGTAGTAATACAAATATGACTGCTACTAATTCTTCAAAGCATAAGCTCCTCATAAACAAGGATGTCTTCAGCATACCTCAAGGATAAGCCTCGTCTCTCTCCTGCCCCACAGTCTCAGGTCTGGGTGTGGGTCAGCGGCCTTGCTGCCCTCCACGCTGCCCCCAGAGCAGTCATCCCCTCCCTTTTGCAGAACCCTGTGCTCTTTTGAGGTTCGTGTTGATTAATGATACCACCCTGCTGCTCTCTTTATTTCTGTCTACCGGCTTCATGCTCGGGTCCTTCCTCCAGTGACTGTATTATCACTGCCCCTGTCACTTTTTAAAAAATCATTAGATCATGTCTTGATTCTCGGAAACTTTAACATCTAGTTGGCCAAGGACGTCATGGTTCCATGACCAGAATACCAATAACTTTTTCTTCATTCTGTATCAGATACCTGCTGCCTAGGTCACGTCAACAGAGATTGTCACTGAGCAAATAGCCGAAAAGAGCCCCCTCCTAGGGAATCTCCCAGCACAGTTTTGGTAAAGGTTTATCGCTTTTCCCCATGAAAGTCTCGAGTAGGATTTATTTTATGAGATTTTTTTCTATTTTATTTTCTACTTGGGTATTGCTAATGAATAGCTTTGGGGTATTATGTATCTAGGCAGCTTGCCCAAACCCTTTTATTAGTTCTAATCATGTAGACGATATCTCATTTATTTTTATCGCCCTTTTGCATTAGGCTGGGACCTCTAATGCAATGTTGGGAGGGGAAAAAAACAAACCTAGAAATGTTCATATTAGTTCACCATTCAGTGTGATCCTTACAACAGGTGGCAGATAGATGCACTTTATCAAAGTCAGGAAGTTTCCTTCTACTCCTAATGTTGCTAAGAAATTCATGAATAGTTGACTCATTCTTCAAACCACGCTAACCTGGCTCCGCCTCCACCACTTCACTGTTCTTGCGAATGTCACCAACCGCCTTCACATTGCCAAATCTAGTGAAACTTTTCTGTCCTCATCTTCTTTGACCTCTCCCAAACATGACACAGGTAACCGTCCCTTTGGTCTGTTTTTGCAGCTGTTCCTCTACTAAACCTCTGCTTGTGAGTTTTTCAGAATTGGTCCTTGGCGGGGGGTGCTCTCCCTGGTGATGCCATCCCGAGTCACAGGACT